AGCAAAGGACCCACAATAGCGAATATAACTACTAATGGGAAAGAACGCAGCTAGAGAACCTACACTAGCTGATGCCAAGGCTCACTCTAAAGCCTAGGTATTAACACTAATACCTAATTAATATTGATATACCAATATTAATATTAGTACCAACATGGTGGTATTAATAAAAGAACAACTATACCAATGACAGGAATACAGGGCCCAGAAGTAGACCTTCACACAGTCAAATGTTCTCTGAAAAGGAGCAAAAAAACAAAACACTGCACTTTTCTCCCATATGTAAAACCTAAATTTAAAATTATTCATGTATGCTGTGTTTGTAAGTCATGAAACTAGAAAGGGGAGGAAGAGATCTTAACGGTGGTGGGAAATAGGGTAATGAAATACCTTTAATAGGAAAGCAGAAGGGGAAACGGATGGGGGAAGAGATCCAGCTGGAGGTGGAGATGGTCCAAGAAGAGCAGTGCGGAGGGTAACAAGAACAGACTAGAATCTACATCTCAATGAAATCCATTACTTTGTATACCAACCTCAAAGATAAATTTTTTCTTTCCTTTGAAACAAGGTCTCTCACTATGAAGTCCTGCCTGACCTGGAACTCAATATAAAAACCAGACTGACCTCCAACTCAGATCACTTGCTTCCACCTCGAAATGAAAGGCATATGCTTTAAAAGACTGATTTTTCTTTAAAGGAGCAAAAGCAATAAAAGGGAGACAAGATATTTCTTCAAGAACTGGTGCTTGAATAACCTAGACATCCATATGCAAAGGGAGAAAGGGACGGGGAGGACATGAATAACAGCCCTTACACTCTTCAAAAAAAGCAATTCAATGGATCACAGATCTAAATGTAAAATGCAGAGCTCTTCCAGGGAAACTAAGACTCAGAGAAGAAATTAAATGAAGGCTTTTACACAGCTCAGGATAGAACATAATTCAAACCTGACTGTGCTATTCCAAGGCCCTATTTCCTCACCAAACTTTACCTCTACTTGACTGATCAGTCCTCACCTTTATTTAAAAAATTGCAAGCTTGGCATTGGGGTACACACCTGAATCCCCAATACTACAGGCCGAGGTAGGGAGTGGTGCATTGGAATAAAATTCATGGGCACAGTGAGACTGCCCACCCCACCCATAAAACGGAAAAATAAAAATCACTGCATTTAGTGCTCTTACCACCAAAAAAAAATGCAATTGCCAGCTTTTATTCTAGTTATGTTTCGTAGCAGAGGCACCCTCGTTAGAGATCAGAGATCATTATGGGTGCCATGTACTTCTAATCAAGCAAGCCAAACATTTAGGGCCTGAGTCTTTTTGTAAACTTACATCTACATCCTTGTCAAAGACATAACGAGCTTCCTTCTAAGGGTTTTGGGCACTCTTAAGAGTATTTGCCACTCATTTCATTCGCTCATGAATTTCATTGCATTTGTGCTTTGCCCGCATGTACATCTGTGTGAGAGTGTCAGGTCCCCTGGAACTGGAGTTGCATGTGGGTGCTGGGAATTTACGGGTCCTTTGGAAGAATAGCCAGTGCTCTTTATCGCTGAGCCCTCTCTCCAGTCCATGAATTTTATTCTTTTAGAAGTATATGCTGGCCAAGTGGTGATGTCAAACAGATGCCTTTCATCCCAATACTCGGGAGGTACAGGCAAGTAGATTTCTATGAGTTCAAGGCCAGCCTGGTCTACACAGTGAGTTCCAGAAAAGCCAGGACTACACAAAGAAACCCTGTCTCAAAACAAGAAAAGAGTATACACTGGATGCCTATTATGTGCAGGCAATTTTTGTAGACACTGAGGATAAAAAGAAGCCTGGGTTCTATAATGTTCAAGATACAGGTCACAGAGGCGAAGATATTCACCACCTGAACCATAAGCTTTAAATCTGTGGAGCGCAGTACTGTAGAGTCCAGTGGGAGTCAAGCATTGCAGCCTATTTCCTGATGCCACATTTTCAAAAAAGTAAAATCAAACAGGCGAGGGACATAAAATGTATTTTATTTAGCCCAACATATCAAAAATCATTTCAGTAGATAATTGGAGTATATGCACTATTGTTATTAATGAGCTATTTTACACTCTTGGGGAAGGTTGCAAACTTGTCAGTGTGCACTGTTCACTTACAGTGTCTCTCAGTTCAGATTGGTCACATTTCTAGTGCTCAGCAATCACACATATGGCTAGTGAGGACAGGCTGGACAGCACAGGGCAAAGGGAAAAGTCGAGAGTACAGTTAAGATTCTCCAGTCAAAATGTTTATTCTTCCTCGTTGGAGGCGCCCTTCGGATTCTCTCTCTCTCTCTCTCTCTCCCTCTCTCCCTCTCCCCCCCTCTTCCCTCTCTCCCTCCCCCCCTCTCTTTCCTCTCTCTCTCTCTCTCTCTCTCCTCTCTCCTCTCTTTTGGTTTTTTGAGACAGGCTTTGGAGACTGTCCTGGAACTATCTCTTGTAGACCAGGCTGCTCTGGAATTCACAGAGATCCACCTGCCTCTACCTCCCAAATGCTGGGATTAAAGGCGTGTGCCACCACCTCAAGGCATGCCCTTCGAATTCTCAAACCCAGATTTATCCTGCCACAAGAGAAGAGCCTTCGCCTCATTCCAAACACGGATCTAGCTGGCCTCGGTGCACCAAACACCACTCACCCTTTCGCTCCAAAGAGCCTCAGCTCTCATTCTCCAGTTCTGTAAACGACCTTATTGTCTATCTACCCACTCTGGTCATCTTTATTTAATCAGCTGATGACTGAGCATCTCACAAAGGTAATGCTAAAGTGTAAATTATTCCAGACGTGCACTTTCCTCCCCACCTCAAGGCCACTTTGATATAGTGGGTTCTCTTGCTTTAGAATCTCCCCTGACCAGTTTCAACTGTAGCTATTATTCCCGAGGCCCTTCAGAGCGTTCTTTCTGTACGTAATAAACGCTAACTTCGCTCCAAAATCTCCCCTTTATTTACCTAACAACGCCCAATTGTTTGCTCTTCCCAGACTGAACAAGGTCACTTACCTTCTGCCCTGGATACTTTCATTTTTGTAAAACTAGTCACCTCACAATCACAAAGCCGACTGGAGGTTTAGAAGCAGTAGTACACTAAATGACATACAATCGGGGCCACTGTCCCCGTGGCTCCTTCACAGTTCTTAATTGCCTTTTTTAGTTACAGTAGTCTTTTTTTAATGCAGCAAAACTTAAGCGGACAGGAATAGAAAATAAGGCTGGAACGACTCGATCTTTCGTCCCTGGACTCACTGTAATACATTATTCAATTACTATCTTCAATATCTAAGAATCTGAGACATTCTAGGAAGTTCAGTTCCGCAGCGCCCCAAGCTGCCACTGAACCCACAACTCCTCAGTTCTAACCCTGCAGACTGGATCCAAACAGCGACACTAGTGGCGGCCGGAGGGGGAGGGGTCCGAAGGCGCAGGCCCGGCCCGGCTTCTGCGCCTGCGCGCAGCCTCTCGCTCAAGGACCCGTATTTAAAGAGACAGGCGGTCTAGTCATCGTGCGAGGCCCGCGGCCTTGTGGGCTCCTAGTCGGGGGCCGGTGTGGAGTGTCGGAGCCTGGACAGCGGGGAAGGAAGGTGAGGGGCGGCGCGGCTGGGCGCCTGGCGCGGTGTGGGTAGGGGTAAGGCCGGGGCCGAGCGCGGCGTGGCTGGAGAGGAGCCCGTGGCTCCTCCCCCGCCCGCCGCTCAGCCTGGGGGCACACCCTCCGTGACGTGGCGGCCCCCCGGGAGCCCACGGGAGGCCCGCGGCCCTGAGACCCCAGGCGGGCACCGGGGAGGGCAAGATGCAGCCCGCGCCCGAGTGAGCGTCCCCAGGGGCTCCTGGTCTCTCCCCGCCACTTGCTGCGCGGCCGCGGCTCCCCGGGAAAGCCTGTAGGCAGGCGGCGTGCCGCTCTCCGCAACTCCGGGGCTCCCCAGCCTCCCCGCACCGGTGGTTAATTGTCCTGTCCCGGGCTCGCGGCTGCCTCCACCCACCATAATCTGCGGAAAGTTGAACTCCTAGCTCCTTCCCGGCCCTGAAGTCCTTCACTCGCCTCTCCGATTCTTAAACGTGGGGCTTGTGTGACCCACTATGAGTCTCGCAGTTCACGGACCGCCTCTCCCCGGGAATCGCACATTGTCAGATACACAAGTTTGGTATACATTCTCCGGAAATTCAGAACTCCACCACCACCGGCTTGCCCTGGAACTCGTAGTAATTACCCCCTGAGATAGTTCTAATCCTGGGACTTGTTTTCCTTTGGAGGCGGACGGGCTTTCTATGTAGTCCAGACAAGACTGAAATTTACTAAGTAAACCGGACTTTCTAGCTTCGAACGCACAGAGCAGTTCTTCTGCCTTTGCTTTCTGAGTGATGAGATTCCAGGCGAGAACCACCATAATTAGCTCTTAGTCCTGTTTTAAAAATAAAACTGGGACGGGTTGTGGTGGCACAACATCTTTAATCTCTGCACTCAGAACACTAGCCTGTTCTACATAGTGACTTCCAGGACAGCCAGGGCTACATAGAAAGATCATGTCTCAAAAAAAAAAAAAAAAACATTGTGGGATGCTCTCTCTGCCTGGACACATGGGGGAGGGCCTAGGCACTGCCCTGGATGAAACGACGAGACTCTGGAGATTCCCCCATGGAGGGCCTCACCCACCCTGGGGATTGGGTGGGGAGACTGGGGGGGATTGGTAGGAGTGCGGGGGGGGGGAGGGACAGGGAGCTGGGATTGACAAGTGAAGCAAGTTTGTTTCTAATTTAAATTTTAAAACGATTAAAAAAACAAAAACATAAGTAAATATAAAATAAAATTGAAGCCGGACGTGGTGATGCACTCCTTTAATCCCAGCATTTAGGAGGCAGAGGCAGGTGGATTCTGTGAGTTCCAGGCCAACCTGGAATACAGAACGAGTTCCAGGAAAGCAAGGGCTGTTACACAGAGAACCCGGTCTCGAAAAACAAAAACAAACAAACCAAAATTTAAATAAACAAACTAAAGTGAGGCTTGGTGGCTCACACTTATAATCCCAGCACTAGAGATCTGAAGACAGGAGGATTGGCCGTTTAGGGTCGACCTTGTTTACGTAGCAGATTGGAAGAAACCAAGCCTCCTGGTATCTTCGCCCCACCACATGGGTAAGCTTGGCCTCCCATCCTTTCTTCAGTTGACACAACAGCAATTTTACTTCACAACAGTATACGAACTAAAAATAGTTTCTAGTATATTGGAAAGTACAAATATAAGAATGGATAGGTATAATCACTGTTTCTACTTGGATTGGTTCATCTATCACTCTGACTCTTACAGTCCAGTTTTGTTGTTGTTGTTTTGGGGTTGTTTGTTTGTTTGTTTGTTTTCATCTTTCCTTGATTCAGGATGTTGAATTAAGCAAGGGGGATTGCTTATTCTTTTTCTAAGGATTTTACTCTTAGAACACTATTACTTGAATTAGGTACTACTGTGAGCTATATTTTACAGATGAAGTAGGAGCAGAGAGGTAACTTGCAGAGGGTCACACAGATAATGGCTGAGCAAGGTTTTGAACCCAGGCAGTCAATCTGATTATAGGCTCTGATGAGTTACCTCTCAAAGGAGAGCCTCTTTTGAAATCCCAAATCTGTTATAGTGCCTTAATTGTTTTCTATAGGTGGCTCATGTGTTATATTTTACAGGGAAACTTCATAAACATGATATAATTTTTCTTAGTTTTTAAGACAGCTTCAGAATCTTGGTGGTATTTATTTAGTTAGTTAGTTTTGGTTTTTCGAAACAGGGTTTCTCTGTGGCTTTGGAGGCTGTCCTGGAACCAGCTCTTGTAGAACAGGCTGGCCTCGAACTCACAAAGTCTCTGCCTCCCGAGTGCTGGGATTAAAGGCGTGTGCCACCATCACCCCACTTCTTGGTGATATTTAAAGTCCACCATCCATTATTAGTGTCTCATGTTGTTGATGTTGCATGCCTCTTCGGAAACTGGTTTTTCCTGTATTGGAATTCTACTCCAGCCTAAGTGAATATATTGGGAAGTGCTATGACGTTCTGGCCATTGGAAGCCTGAGGGCTGGAAAATGGCTCAGTGGTTAAGAGGACTGGCTTGCATTTCTTTTCTAGAGGATCTGAGTTCAATTCCCAGCAACCATATGGTGGCTCACAACCATCTATAATGAAATCTAATGGCCTGTTCTGATTGATGCCCTCTTCTGTCATGCAGGCATACATGCAAATAGAGCAGTCATTTAAAAAATACATAAATAAATATCTTTTAAAAAGAAAAGAAATTGGAAGCCTGACTTCTTCATATCTTTGTGTTTATTTCCCACCCTTTCATTCAGCTATATGACTTTGGCTTTCAAGATCCTCTTCCCGAGAAAAAAACTGTGCCTGTTCCCAGAACAGAAGCATTGGCCTGTCATAAGACAGTTCAGCCAGTGGTCAGAAACAGACCTTCGTGGGTGCTGCCTCCTCCAGAGAAGAAAGCCTGCCCTATCTTTCCAGGGAGGTCATCTAAGACCACGTGCCACCCACCTTGTTTTCTTCCCAGGGTCGCATGTGGGACTCTGTACTGGCCCCTGTGAGATGGCGGAGCAGCGGTTCTGTGTGGACTATGCCAAGAGGGGTACAGCTGGCTGCAAGAAATGCAAGGAGAAGATTATAAAGGGCGTATGCCGCATTGGCAAAGTGGTGCCCAATCCCTTCTCAGAGTCTGGGGGCGATATGAAAGAGTGGTACCATATTAAGTGCATATTTGAGAAACTGGAGCGGGCTCGGGCTACCACAAAAAAAATCGAAGACCTCACAGAGCTGGAAGGCTGGGAAGAACTGGAAGATAACGAAAAGGAGCAGATCAGCCAGCTCATTGCAGGTGGGGTTTAGAATCGACTCTCTGCTTGCTGGTGCTAATACAATAGGGCACAAGGGGACTAGAGTCTAGGATATTTCTTTGTGCATCTTGCTTGGACACAAGTTCAAATTCACATATAAGAATAAAATTAATACCAAGAACACTCATTCTTTTTACACAGATTTCCCTCAGTCTTCTCTTACATGATCATAGTTTACTTGTCAACCTCAGTAAATTCTCCCTTGATGCAATACTTCCTTATCTGCATACTGTTTTGTCTGTTGACTGAATGCTATAATTTAGTAGTATATTTTCCTCCATTGCAGGATGCAGGTCTAGAATCAGATTGGGTACAGCATTTAATTGTCATGTCCAGAGGGTCTTTTTGGTTTTTAGTTTTTGGTTTTAGATGTGTTCTTGCCATGCCGTGTAGCTTGGGCTGGCCTCACACTTGGAGCAATCTTCCTGCCTTCTCTCCCCAGGACTACATTACAGCCTTATGGCCTTATGCCACCAAGTCTGGTACTCTATAGTCTTTCTTTTAGATGTTGATATTTTTAAAGAATAAAAGACTGCTACCACCATTTTAGCTGTCACCTTGATATCTTTATGAACTTGGAGATTACTACTTTTCACCAGAGACTTACAGTTTATTATGGTACTTACTTGTTCCATATTTGGCCAGCTAGTAGTCCCTTTAGGGTGACTTCTATATCCTGCATACTCTAGTTTCTCTCTCTGTGTCTCTGTCTCTCTCTGTGTCTCTGTCTCTCTCTCTCTGTCTCTGCAGTCTTGCTGTGTAGCCCTAGCTGACCTTAAACGCCCAGTCTTTTCTGCATCAGCCTCTCGAGTCCCGAAGTTGCACCCGTCTGCCAGCCACGCCTGGCAGATCCTTTTCACTGAATTTTAGCTAGGTGAGGTGGTACAAGCCTGCAGTCCTAGACAGTCAGGAGGAGTTTAAAGCCTACTGGGCCACATTTACAAGTACTTATGCACTAGGCATAGAGGATGCTCTTGACTTTCTTCTTTGTGTCCTCCCCTTGCAGTAGCCATTCTTCTGAGGGGGTCTGAATTCCCATTAATGGAAAATAGTTTGGGAAACCCAAATCTGGATGCTGTGTGTCTCATCATCATATAATATCTTTGCATCTAAGTTCATAAAACAGAGAACTAGAAAGATATGTGCATGCATATACACAAAAACACATACATATATACATATATCCACGCATATGTGCTTACTCCTATATACATATCTGAGGACTCTTAGAGTCTCTAGAGTAATAGATCTAAAGACTGTGGCTCTAATGATGGGCCTCTATTCTTATTTTTGGCTTTTATTAACTGATTCTATCTCATTCCGGGGAAGGGAAGTGTAGTCAACAGGAATTTTACTACCTATGCCAAATAGGCATGTTCTGGTTTCTTTGTTTTTTTGTTTTGTTTTGTTTTACTACTTTGTTGTTTCTATTTTCTATATATTGGAGCTATTTCACAGAGCAAGGCCCAAGTTTGTTTATTTATATATATATATTTTTTATTTATTATGTATATAGTCTTTTGTCTATGTGCCAGCAGAAGGCACCAAATCTCATTCAAGGTGGTTGTGAGCCACCATGTGGTTGCTGGGAATTGAACTCAGGACCTCTGGAAGAACAGTCAGTGCTCTTAACCGCTGAGCCATCTCTCCAGCCCAAGGCCCAAGTTTTATCTATCAAAATGTGATTACTGGGGCTGGAGAGGACTCAGCAGTTAAAAGAGGAGGTGGTTCTTCCAGAGGACTTGGGTTTAATTCCCAGCACCCCCATGGCAGCTCGTAACCATCTATAACTCCAATCCCAAGGGATTTGGTGCCCTTTTCTGGTTTCCCTGGGTACCAGGCTCATACATGGTACACACATACGTACAGGCAAAACACCCATTCACATAAAAATAAAAATCTTTAAAAATAAAAAATGATTATTGATTTTCCCCAAATCTGTACTTTAAGAAATTATTATATACTAAAGAAGAGGTGATGAAGTTTTATGAAAATTCAAGTTACCAATAGAGGTAAATGATCCCCAAAATACCTTTTTGTTCTCTGCCCAATACTCTTCCCAACACTCAAAAAGACCAGCCAGCCTGGGGACATAGTGCAATCGAAACTTACCAAGCAAGGATTTGAGAACTGTTGATAAAATCTTCAGAAGCTTTCTCTGAAGGACATTTTTGTTCTTTGTGGGTCCTGTAGACCTGTCTTCTAAGGCAGCTGGGACACCAAAGAAGAAAACCGCTGTCCAGGGTAAGCTGACAACCACTGGCCAAGTGACATCCCCAGTGAAAGGTGCTTCGTTTGTCACCAGTACCAATCCCCGGAAATTTTCTGGATTTTCAGGTAAGATGGAGTAAGATTACTTTCCCTGTTAAGACTCTCCTGTTTGGTGTCTTCTTTGGGTCTCAGACAAAGTGAAAATACTGCATTACCAAGTATCAGTAACTGGCTTCTGTCTGGGCAGTCCAACCATAGCTGACTCTCAATGCGCCATTTGCATAGCATTTCTCTGGTGAAGCAGGGACGTGCTGGTTTTGTTAAGACTTCTACTTGAAGTTACTACTTGGATCAAAAAGATTTTTCTAACTCTTTGCTTCTTGGTTGTTTTGTTAGTTGGTTTGGTTTGATTTTTCAAGACAGGGTTACTTTGTGTAGCCCTGGCTGTCCTGGAACTCACTGTGTAGATCAGGCTGGCCTCGAATTCAGAGATCTGCCTGCCTGCTGGGTTAAAGGTTTGCTCCACCACTACTTGGCTACTTCTTGGTTTGTTTGTTTGTTTGTTTGTTTTTTGTTTTTGAAAAATTTTTTTTAACTTAATTGTTTTTTAAATGACAGAATTCTGAGAAGTTTGCCCTGAACTGGAGATGGAAGTGTGGGAGGGAGGGAGTTGAGATACATGAGGGAGGAGCTGGAAGGAAGATCCAAATGACAGGTGCCACGTTCTGTTGGGAGACAGTAGAGCCCAGTGATAAAGCAGGTGGACTTGGGAATTAACAGGCTCTGGATTCAGATGCCATCTCCTGTCTCACTTATGTCCTGCCAAGATAAACAAACGTAATTTGTAATCATGCACACACATATGTAAGTTGTTTCTGTTGTATGACAAACTGCTATTCCTAGACTGGAGTCAGTAAAACTTTGCTAGAACCTGTGCTGCAGGTGGGAATTGAGAGGATCGTTTATTGGCTATAAGTAAGAAATCATTGAGGTATGGGCTTTTGTTCTTCACTGAACCTGAAGAAGTGCCTTTCTGTTATGCTTGTTACGAGTATTTTATGAATGCACTGAAGTTCAGGCTTGCAACTGAGCTATTATTGCGGTGGTGTCTGTTTGTCCCAATAGTGTGTTATTTATCATATATACCCTGTAGTCTGTTTATTGTTTGAGATAAACAGTTCTTATGACTGGCTTAGTTGAAGAAAATAATAAAATGAAACCCTTTGAACTAGAGCTTTGAAGGTTCAAATAAACCTAGATGTCAGGAGAATTGAGGTTTGGTCCATGATGACAGCTTGGTGCTTTGAGCAAGTCTTCACCAGTGTGAGGCCCTGTGGCTTTGTCTGGGGATTAAGACATTAGTCCTGTCATGAGAACTGTGGGATATAAAGTTACAAAAATGATGCCTGAATCTGTAGGAGTTTACATGCACACAGTTAATTTGTTCTGTTTAAGAGAGAGAGCCTTGGGCTGGAGAGATGGCTCACCCGTTAAAGGCTAGGCTCACAACCCAGAAATATAAGAGACAGGATCTTCTGTCCAGGCTGTTCTGAAATTAAGATCCTCCTGCCTCAGCCTCCTGGGTGTTAGAAGTACAGGCATATGCTGCCATCTCTGGCAGTTTTTATTATTTGTAAACTCCAGTTTGTTTGTTGTTGGTAGTAGGGCAGTGACAGGGATGCAGAAGAGTCCAGATGACAATAAAGATAACATGATTCTGGAAAGATCCTGGTCTTATGCATGGAATTTAGAGTTGCTGAAAGGAGTAAGGTAGGGTGCTCTCCTTCTTGGACCTAGCTAAATACTGGAAAGATCTCTGCCCCACATGAGTTTAGATTCCAATTCAGAGAAGACGACAGATTTACAGTGTACAAAACCCAAACAGAAAATCTTGGTTAAATAGCTCCTTGCTGTAACAATTCTGCCTTGGCCTTGTAAATGGTCACAAAGAAATAAGGAACAATCACCAAGAATTCTCTCTCAAAATAAAGCTGTCTTTTTGGGCTGGAGAGATGGCTCAGAGGTTAAGAGCACTGACTGTTCTTCCAGAGGTCCTGAGTTCAATTCCCGGCGACCACATGGTGGCTCACAACCACCTTGAATGAAATCTGGTGCCCTCCCCTGGCATGCAGACAGAAGACTGTATCTACACAATAAATAAATAAAATTAAAAAAAAATAAAGCTGTCTTTTATTTTGACAATGAGAAAAGACAAACTAGGGTGTACTGGTGGTCCTGACTTTCTTGGTAGCATCCCTGTCTTGGCTCTGTTACCAAGGAAGTAGGTGCTCTTGAAAGCTATCTACTCTCAGGCCTTTCTCATCGGTAAGAGGACAGTGAACTCTATAACCCCTCAGGCTTGCAATAGCTCTGACAACCCACGATGGCAGTCTCTCAATTTAACATGTCCTTTGGTTTCTTCTCCCTTTCTCATCCCAGCCTTTCTGGAGTCAATTACAATTGTTCTGAGATCCACCTGATGGCTGTGGCATGAAAGCACCTTTGTTCCTGTGTGAGATGCTCATATGAACAGATACTGCTCAGTCCAGTCATCAAGCAGTGATATTTGGGCCGATTACTTGCCCTTCAGATCTGTGCTTGTGACATGGATCCAGTATATCTACCTCCAGTCACTCTTTGGGGGGATTAAATAAGATTACATATAAAGCCCTAGCAAAATTTCATTTTCTTCATTCCTCTTTGTGCATACCAAAAAGGAAAAATGAATCGCTTGTGTTGTTTCTCTCTCCAGCAGCCAAAACCAACAACTCTGAGCAAGGTTCCTCCAGCCCTGCCCCTAAGACAAGTCTGTCGGCAAGTAAATGTGACCCTAAGCACAAAGACTGTCTACTACGAGAATTCCGGAAGCTGTGTGCCATGGTGGCTGAAAATCCTAGCTACAATACAAAGACCCAGATCATCCAGGACTTCTTGCAGAAAGGCTCTACAGGAGGTAGGGCTGTGAGCACCCGAGTATGTGTTCCCTCTAAAAAGCTCAGAGCCATGACCAGCTTTATGGGCATAACACTGGAGTCTTTTTTTTAAAGGTTTATTATGTATACAGTGTTCTGCCTGCATACCAAAAGGGGGCACTAGATCTCATTATTGATAGTTGTGAACCACCCTGTGGTTGCTGGGAATTGAACTCAGGACCTCTTGACCTCTGATCCATCTCTCCAGCCCCACACTGGAGTCTTGACATTTTGATAATCTTGAAATGGAATCCTATAGTTGTAACTGTCACCAGACCCTGCATATCATATAGCCAGTTCTGCTATTTTCTTCCTCTGCCCTTAATTTGTCCTGAGGCAGAAGAACCCATTTAACCAGTAGAGAAATCGCCCACTTGCATATGTGATTAGGTGAATCACATGCCCAATGTGGAGTAGAATTACCTGGTTCTGTCTCTTTCATAGATTAACAGATTGTCAGGCAGTATCTGTTACATCATCACAAAGTGAAAGTCAGGGCTTCACCCAGTGGGAGATCATGGGGTAAAGATGTGGCAGACAAAAACCACAACCACTGACTACTGCTACTGTAGTAATTACATGCAGGGAGCTGTGGGAAGCAGTTCATGCCTTTTTTTTTTTTTTAATGATAATTTGGATAGGGTCTCACTGTGCATTCTTCACTGTCTGGGAACTTACTGTGTAGACCAGGCTGGTCTTGAACTCACAGAGATCTGCAGGCTTCTGCCTCTCAAGTGCTGGGATTAAAGCTGTGTAGCTCCATTTCTTAATGGAGTTTTCTTTCCTTGTGTCTTCAGATGGCTTCCACGGTGATGTGTACCTAACAGTGAAGCTGCTGCTGCCGGGAGTCATTAAGAGTGTTTACAACTTGAACGATAAGCAGATTGTGAAACTTTTTAGCCGAATTTTTAACTGCAACCCAGATGATATGGCCCGGGACCTAGAACAGGTCAGAGGCGGGTGTTGGGAGGCCACACCCCAGGTGGGACTCTGCCAGGATAGCCTTCCCACAGCCGGTTTTAAAAATAACTGAGAACCTACTGGGGTAGGGAACTGAAACTTACTGAACAAGGTTCTGTTAGACTGGGGAAACTGAGTGTGAGGACACAGCTGTTCCTTTCATAAGTTTGATAACTGAAAACATACCTCTGCCAAGCCACAAGAGGCCTTATCTGAAAAGTCAGGACTTGAGACTTCCTTTGGGCTGTTGTGGGCTTTATTTGCTTGCTTTTTTTTCCCCCTTTCTGTGGAGTTTCCATTCATCTTTGGCTTGTTCATGACCCCAGCCTTGCTGCCATGGAAAGTTTCTATCTAAAAGTCTGCTGTTGGAAGGACTGTGTCTCTTAGTTCCAGTTCTTAAATAGGAATCAGATTGGCTTGGTCTTGAAATTAGTACTACTGAGCAAGTGGGCAGCCTCATGTGGCTAGATGGGCCCCTTCTAGGATCTGGCTGGGAGAAAATTCCTGAGAACTACTTTGGGCCAGGAGCTGTGGTTGAATTCTTGATTAATTGTTAGTCTCAAGCTCCCTGGGGTTGCAGCAGTGGCGTTTTGGTTTTTGGAGACAGGGTGACGTGTCAGAGACGATCAGAGTCTTCTTTGAGCAGAGCAAGTCTTTCCCCCCAGCTGCCAAAAGCCTCCTCACCATCCAGGAAGTGGATGCCTTCCTCCTGCACCTCTCCAAGCTCACCAAAGAGGATGAGCAGCAGCAGGCCCTACAGGACATTGCCTCCAGGTGGGGGAGCTGCCCTATTCAAACCAGACCCAATGGGGATGGGCTAGGCAGGTGGACTGTTCTGGGAAGGAAGGTTTGGGATCAGAGTTCTTCAGAGATTGAGCTGAATATGCCTCGTCTCTTTAGGTGTACAGCCAATGACCTTAAATGCATCATTCGGCTAATCAAACATGATCTGAAGATGAACTCGGGTGCAAAGCATGTGTAAGTACCATAGCTCCTCTGACAGCCTGAACTGCCAACTTTTGTTCCCCCACTGCTCTCAGGACGTGGGAGACCTGCTATGGATTCAAACCCTAATTGTTATTTCCTGGGGACTCTAACTCAGCTCCACACCCATTTTCTCACATGTAACGTGGAGATAGCTGTCTTTAATACAAAGCTGCTACAACTGACAGTCCAGAACAGACTTCTTGCCATTCCAGCCCCATCCTCTGCCAAGGCTGCACCAAGTAAGGCACAGCGTCTCAAAACCCTAAGTGTTCTGTTCTGTCTTTTCCTGTGCCAGCTTTGATTTCCAACCCTTTGCCTTTGTAACATCTATAAAATTCATGTTCAAGAACTGTTTATTCAAGTTTAAAAAAAAGAAATTAGAAAGAAAACGTAGTGTTTTAAATAAATTTGAGTACTTTGTGTTGGTGTACACTCATGACCTCTCCGGCTCCATGTGCCTACTGCTGTGAGTTCAACACACCAAGTTAAGGGATGGAACAAGGCTGCTTCCCCAGCATCTCAACTGTCTGTGACAGACTGCTACCCTACGCCGTGATGTCAGATGTACAAGTCTGTTAAGTTTGTTTCCTTGCTCCTGTCCCCCTTGGCAGGTTAGATGCCCTTGACCCCAATGCTTATGAAGCCTTCAAAGCCTCACGCAACCTGCAGGATGTGGTGGAGCGGGTCCTTCACAATGAGCAGGAGGTGAAGAAGGACCCAGGCCGGCGACGGGCTCTGAGTGTTCAGGCCTCACTGATGACTCCTGTGCAGCCCATGCTGGTGAGGAACACTGCCCTGTCCCTATTGCCCATGTCTCTTGCAGCTGCTGGCATCTGAAAGGGGATGAAAGGCAGGGGCTCTTTCTTGCAGGTTGCCTAGAGAAGTTTGGGAAAGGAAGCGTGGAGGCCAGAGCAGTGCTAGGCTGGGAAGTAAAGGTGCAGAAGGTGGCGGGCCGGCAATCTAGTACAAGCTCAACCTCCGGCACTGCCACCAGCAAGCCCTGGAGTCTGGGATGGGTTTCCCAGCCTCCTTGGCACTTTATTTTCCCCTGTGGGAGTGGCATGTGAGACCAAGTAGTTTAGCATCACACTTGAAGACAGGGCTATGCTCAGTAGCCCCCAAGGCTGTGACCTCCTGCAGGATAACTCAGAACTGACAACAGAGCCAGGCGTCTCGTCACAGGCAGGAGAAGCTCAGGGAATAAAGCCTCACTCCAGTACATAACTTGGGTCTCTGCACCTTTAGTGAGGGTGGGCTCCCTTCTGGTTTTTATGTACAGCAGGGAAATATCTGCTGCTTTGCCACTTGCTGTGTGTCCCTTGAACTTCCCAGGGGTATTGTTCCTTTTTTTTAAAAAACTGTCTTGTGATACTAAATCCTTGGGTTAGGCGTTTATGTTTGAGATAGAAAACAATTCTCTTGCTACCAGAAATACAGGCTAGCCAGTGCAAAAATAGTGAGGTCTCCATGCCAAGGACAGAACCACCTCCCTCACCTGAAGAAGGAGCTTTTCTGGCTTCTGTGGCCATGCTTCGCAGAGTGCTTCCACAGCGTCCTCTGAAGAAGGGTGTGGATTGCATGCTTAGTGCTCCAGCACAGGGTCTTGGGAGGAGGGCATAGATGCATACCCGAGTGACTGCTGACTGCCCCCTGACCTTAAGTAAATGCATGACCTCCCAGACATTCAGTTCTCCCCGCAGCATTTGTCATATAAGGGGTCATCAAAGATGAAATGACATTGTGTTTTGTGGCCTGACAAGAACCTCCCCCCCAATGGTAGTTACTGTTTGGGTCTGGCTTGTGCCAGTGTGAGCAAGTGTGTCTGTGTCTGGGAATCCTGTCCTGTCAGTCTCAGATTACAGTCACCCTACCAGCCTCATTGTCACTGGCCCTCTTCAGTTTCACCTCCACTGTCACTTAACACTGTGGTAGCAAGTGTGTTTAATAAGCCAGGTAACGTGTAAGAGCCTAAATTATTGAGGAAAAGAATATTTAGAAGAATTTTATTTATTCTAGAATGGATAGCATTTATCTTTTTCAGAATGCAAACTGTTAAGCCAACTCTGGTGATGGATTAGGTATTTTTTATTTGAGACAGTCTTGCTATATATCAACTGATAATTTTAAATATAGCATTGCCTGGCCCTTTGCAATACCATCACCCCCTCAGCAGCAGTCTGTCCTGAGTCAGTTCCAGAACCCAGTTTTGTCCTGACATCCCCAACCCCAGGCTCTGCTAAGGAGCTCCAGTTGAAGGGATCTAGCATTTGCTTTCTCCATCTTAAGGCTGAGGCCTGCAAGTCCATCGAGTATGCAATGAAGAAGTGTCCCAATGGCATGTTCTCTGAGATCAAGTACGATGGTGAGCGAGTCCAGGTGCATAAGAAGGGGGACCACTTCAGCTACTTCAGCCGCAGTCTCAAGCCTGTCCTGCCTCACAAGGTAATGGCCTTCTGGCCAGGATTTTCTCTCTCCTGCTTGTAAGAATCACTGTGTCAGAACTGCAGGACCTTTCCATGGTAGAAGGGAATTTGTTTTTATCTGTAAATGAATGGAGTGAATTCATTCCTGCACTCTGCTAGTAATGAAAGGCTGAACAGCCAAAGAGCCTAGACTGGGGTAGTCAGGCAGGAAAGAGTTCCCTGGATGGTACGGTGTGACAGTGAGCTTAGTGCAAATCTTTGGTGTTTGTGTGTCCCCTGTGCTTCTTTTGGGCTAGATTAAGGTTCATGTACAAGCAACTATAGGGCTGTCGTTCATTAGTTTGTTCAACAAATATTTCTCAAATGCTATGTGCACAGTTGTAGCTAGTGGACATATAAAAATACAAACAATAGGTGAAAGTCCTGGCCTTCATGGAGCTTATCATTTGTTAAGTGCACAATATTGTGGAGCTGTCTGGGATCCCCGTTTCCTGCCTTAATCAGGATTGATGGGAATTGAGAAGTTCATTCCTCAGTCCTTCTCAGCTCCCAGGGCCAGTCTTTTGGGGTCCATGGGAGAGAAGCAGCTGGGTTATATGGCCCCAGTAGCTTGTGAGGAAATGGATTTCCTGTCTTTGCTGCCCCCTTCTTTTCCAGTTCTGACTTGGTTTCTCGGAGTCTGTAGATTGGGGAATGTGTTGTGTGGTTCAGTAGAGACATGGTAGCTGGGCCATTTGTTTTATGTGTTCAGCAAGAGAGCTGAGCAGTAGTGTTGCATGGAGCTTTAAGTGAGGTTCATTAGTCCCAGGGGCACTAGAAACTGATCAGGAGCCGTTAGGAGAAAAAAGGATGGTGTTAGACAGACCCTCTTGTGACCTGGAACATTTGAACACAGCTGTCCAGAATATGCTTTCTGTACCTTCCTAAATACTGCAGATTGAACCAGGCGGTGGTGGTGGTGCACGCCTTTAATCCTAGCACTTGGGAGGTAGAGGTAGGCAGATCTCTGTGAGTTCGAGGCCAACCTGGTCTTCAAAGAGAGTTCCAGGACAGTCTTCAAATCTACAGAGAAACCCTGTCTAGAAAAAAAACAAAATACTGCAGATTGAACCTTGGTTTACACAAGCTAGGCAAGGGCTGTACACTAAGCTCTGTCCCTACTCTATGGCTGTTTGGTTCTAGAAGGACTGGGTTGGGATAAGAGGGAGTACGAATAGATGGTCAAGTCTTTCCTCGTCCCTCCATACCTTAGGCAGTGACTGCCTGTGTGCTGCTCTCAGCTGAGAAATTAGACCATCATCAGGCTCTTTGGTGTCTTTTGTCAAGGAAAGGTGGGTTACAGTGAGACCTTTCCCACTTGACTGATCAGAAATTAGGACTCTCTGTTAAGAAAAATCCAGCCCCAGGGCTCATACTCTGAAGACAGCAGGGGCTTCAGAGCTCCCACTTAGAGAAGGCCCTGTTCTCATTCTCACTGTTGCCGTCAGCTCTGCCCCCCATCTGTTTTCTCCCATCCCAGTCCTCAGCCCAATAATACCAATCTTCTGTAATGGACGCTGGTCTCCCCCTGCCCGTCATTCCTCTTTCCTTTCCTCCCAGGTGTCTACCTCCATGTCCTCCCAACATACTCACTCTATTTCTTCCTTTTTCCTCCAAACTGTCTGTACAGCCCACAGAACATGACTCAGAGGAGGCTGACCACTTTCTGGGTCTAGACAGAAGGAGTAAAGCAGATAGCCTGGTCCTCTTTCAGGGTAGATGACACAGTCTAGCAATGCTTTTAACCCATTACTTGGGCTTCCATGTGTTCTCTCTACAATTTTCCAGGGCTTTGATCACTGTGGCTTGGTTTTAGGTCTTAACTGTCAAGTCATCCTTGCCAAAGCTGCCTTTCTACTTCCAGGTGGCCCACTTTAAGGACTACATCCCCAAAGCCTTTCCTGGGGGTCAGAGCATGATCTTGGATTCCGAGGTGCTCCTGATTGACAACAACACTGGCAAACCACTGCCCTTTGGGACTCTGGGAGTGCACAAGGTACAGCACAGCTCAGAGTCCTGTGTGAACATATGCTGTTAATCCAAAAAGGGTGGACAAATCACTTAGGACAGGGCCTGTTCCCTTTTTTTTTTAATTAATTAATTATGTGTGTACAGCATTCTGCCTTCATGTATCCCTGCACACCAGAAGAGGGCACCAGATCTCATTATAGATGGCTTTGAGCTACCATGTGGTTGCTGGGGCTTGAACTCAGGACCTCTGGAAGAGCTCTTAACCTCTGAGCCATCTCTCTAGCCCCCTGTTCTTTTTTTGTTCCTTCATAAAAAGGAGTTGCTCTTTAGGAGCCAACTTAGAATTGAGTTGGTTTCAGTTCAGCACATGTTTTTCTATTACTGTAACAAACTACCGTAAGTAACTTGTATAAAGGAGAATAGCTCTAGAGGTTGCAGTCAGGGACGACAAAGGTCCGTACCTTTAGATCACTACTAGTGTAGCACATCCTGGCAAGAAGAGGTGGCACAGCTGACCATTTACCTCATAACTGAGGATCACAGAGAGGGGAAGTCCCACAATCCTTTAAAGAGCACACCACTGTTGACTTAAAACCTTCCCCTACCTCACCACCCTGGGGACCAAGCCTTTCACACCTGGGCCTTTCGGGAAATGTTGGCGATCTAAAGTTTGGTGAGCACAATCTATGGAGTGTTCTATGGCCCGGGTTCTGCAGAGTGCTGACAGGACTGTCCACTGGTGGTACAGAAGCAGACTGCTGCGCCCCTGATTCTGTGCCCACATGTACCTACTGCCTCATTTCTCCACAGAAAGCTGCCTTCCAGGATGCTAATGTCTGCCTGTTTGTTTTTGATTGTATCTACTTTAATGATGTCAGCTTGATGGACAGGTAAGTTAGCTAATGTTTTGGTATGTTTTCTTGTGTGTGTGTGATTGTGGTTTTTGTTTTTTGTTTGGTTTGGTTTTTGGTTTCTTCATGTTTTGCAGTACTGGGGATGAAATCCAGGGCCTTACATGTATTAAGCATATGATCTATCATTGGACTTTACTCCCTGGCTCCCATCTTTAAACCCAGAATCTATCTGTACTGCGGATTTATCTGGCTTGGGCCTATAGAGGCTTCGGTTAGGAAAGAGATTGGGTGATGCCATGGTGAAGCATCCAGGGAGAACTGGCGGTCTGGAATCAGTCGCACCCACAGGCTTGGATCTACATAGCTGATAGTTGTCCTTTATGCGCTTAGGATGTCTCCTTAATCCTGTTTCTATAACTGCTACATCCATGATTAAGAGAGTTAAATAGAGGGCTAGAGAGATATCTCAGAGGTTAAGAGCACTGACTGTTCTTCCAAAGGACCTGGATTCAATTCCCAGCACCCACATGGCAGCTCACAACTATCTAGAACTCCAGTTCCAGAGGATCTGGCACCTTCACACAAACTGACACGTAGGCAAAACATCAGTGCACATAAAATTAAAAAATAAATTATATTTAAAAAGTTGTATTCTCAGCACACACATACACACATAAAATAGCCTAAAAATTATTTTTAATGTTTAAAAAAATAAGTAGAGAGAATTGATGGGTTAGGGTCCCAAAGCCTGTACCAGCCTTGGGTTATGATTAGGCAGGGTGTGGGGCAAGTTGTTCACTCAGAGGCTAGCCAGCCTGATAGTTAGGGTTAGAGTGGGGCATTAGCACAGAGTTGTGACAGTATTCAGGTTGGTTCATTAGAGGAGAAAGCATAGCTGTGAACTGGCTGTGAGCCACAGCTCACATGGTCCATCTCCAGTGTTGATGGAGTCCTTACAACCCTTGGCAGCAGAACTGTTCATACGGGAGCATCAGTTTTATCATTGGGCACCATCCTGTGTTAAAATCCCTGCTAAGGGTGGGAGGGAGGCTCTTTCCCTCAGCTCTGCTATTTCCCTCAGGCCTCTCTGTGAGCGAAGGAAGTTTCTTCATGACAACATGGTTGAAATCCAGAACCGGATCATGTTCTCAGAAATGAAGCAAGTCACAGTAAGTGAAGCTCCTATCCTAGGTGGGGATCTGATGGTTTTCAAACAGCAGAGAGCCCCATGGGGTGAGAGGATGAGCCTTGAGTATTCTTTTTGTGGGGTACATATTTCCAGTTGTCTTCACTCTGAAGGGTGGGGCGTGAAAGTCTTTTCCTAGGTAAGCAGCCTGTACCTCAAAATCATAGCAGCTCTTTAGGACCTTTTCCTTATATCGAAGTATGTTTTCACATAGTGTATAGAAATGAACATTGCTGTGTATTCTCACATTATCTGCACATCTCCTCACTGTCCCTCAGAAAGCCTCAGACCTGGCTGACATGATAAACCGGGTGATCCGAGAGGGCTTAGAAGGGCTAGTGCTGAAGGATGTGAAGGTAAGATGGCTGCACCATTGTCCTCTCCTGCTGGAGACAGGCATTGTGGGCGGGAGAGTGAAAGCTACGTGGAGTCTTTCCTACTTACCTGGGGCAGGCTGGTTCTGGATCTGGAAATGGTTTTGTGTGTCCTGTAGTGCCTGGACACAGATCTGGCTGGGCCATAGTGGTGAAAAGACAGACCCTACCCTCCTGTACTTTCCATTCTCTGTGATCTGTTTATTTGTGTCCCCTCAGGGTACATATGAGCCTGGGAAGCGGCACTGGCTGAAAGTTAAGAAAGATTATTTGAATGAGGGGGCCATGGCTGATACAGCTGATCTGGTGGTTCTTGGGGCCTTTTATGGACAAGGGAGCAAAGGTCAGTGCATCTGGTCCCTGTGGCGGTACTCTATCAGAAGACACATACTAGCCTTCTTGCTAGCTTATTTGCTGATCATGGATTGCTTATTCCTGAGATCTGGGGCCCTGGTCACATCAGGCAGGGACATCTGGGAGCTACAGGCTTACACAGAGAAGAAGAGCTGATGCCCCCCAAGCCTTTTGGCCTAAATTGATCACTAATACCCACAAGTTGTCCTTTGACCTCCACACACACACTTGCACTGTAGCATAATACTAGAGTATGATTGGCTGCACACAAGTAGACACACACACATACACGTTTTAATAAAAAGGGTAAATAATTAACAAGTTGGTCAAGAATAGCGTCTGCTGTCCTGACACAAGGAAGCTCAACACCAGCTGATTCAAGGCCTGACAGCTTACTTCTCAGAAAACTGTTTCCTGACTGGGAAGGAAGGTGAGGTATGAGGAACACTTAAGGCAGTGTGTCAGGTTGTGTCTGTTATGTGTCAGACACAATTTTCCAGAGCCCAGTAAATTGAGTGTGATTAACTTTTTTGGTTTTTTGGGACAGGGTTTCTCTGTGTAACAGCCTTGGCTGTCCTGGAACTCATTCTGTAGACCAGGCTGGCCTCAAACTCAGAGATCTGCCTGCCTCTGTCTCCCAAGTGCTGGGATTTAAGGGTGTGCACCACCAACACCCAGCTACGCTAACACTTTTAATGCTACTAAGGTCTTGGCCCTTCTCCAACCAGCCTAGTTCTAACCCATACTCAATTCATGTTCCCTTCTCAGGTGGCATGATGTCCATCTTCCTCATGGGCTGCTATGACCCTGACAGCCAGAAGTGGTGCACTGTTACCAAATGTGCTGGAGGCCATGATGATGCCACACTTGCCCGCCTGCAGAAGGAGCTAGATATGGTGAAGATCAGCAAGGTGAGAAAGGCTCCCGATTGACCCTGGCCTTGACAGTCATCACTGCTGAGACACAGGCTATGCTGTGAGGACTGAGGTCTGCAGGTCTCGTTTTTAATTCAGTAAGGAGCTTGCTTCTTGGCCATAGGAGCATGATTAGGCTTTAAAATCTCAGAGGTCCTGCCATGTGGATGACGGCCTGTGTCCTGTGAGCCACAGCCTCTCTGGAGAGGAAGGATTACTTGGTGTGAGGGTTCATCCTTTTTAGCTAAGCCATATTTCACAGTCTCAATGCAAAGACAGGGTTTAAACCCTGCTCCAGCATGACAGCAGCCCAAAACAAGTGTCTTTTCTCCTTCAGGATCCCAGCAAGATACCTAGTTGGCTGAAGATCAACAAGATCTACTACCCTGACTTCATTGTTCCAGACCCAAAGGTATCGAATTGATGGATTTTGGTCCCCAACCAGGAAGTAGTATGTAGCTCTCCAGTGCCACAGAAGTTAGCCCAGCCTTGCTAAAGGTCCACCTGGGATGGGACTTGGACATTCAGCCAAATGACAGGCACAGAGCTGCCAGTCATCACTGAGGACTCTTCTTAGTAAAGGGGAAGGAAATTCCCCTCCACCTGTTGTAGAAGGACCTAGTCCAGGCAGGTTTCAAGAAGAGGCAGAGCTGACATACATACCTCCTGGGTGCCAGTGAGACTCTATGCTTTGACCTGTTAGACATTGTTTCTGGCTGCTGGAGACTTCCTTCTTGGCCAGAGATAATCGGTTTTATTCCTGACAGAAAGCTGCTGTGTGGGAGATCACAGGGGCAGAATTCTCCAAATCTGAGGCTCACACTGCTGATGGGATCTCCATCCGATTTCCTCGATGCACTCGAATCCGGGACGACAAGGACTGGAAATCTGCCACTAACCTCCCCCAACTCAAGGTGCCAGTTCCTAGGCTAAATGTTCTCCACTCCACTGTCTTGCCCTTAGTGTTGGGGATCTGGCCTGCTCACATGTCATTTGGCTTGTTTTTTCTGTTCCATGGGGGCAAAACAAGGAAAGCAATTAGAATTAAAACTCTTCCTCCCAGCTCACCCTCCTCAGGTCCCCTGAAGGCCCCTCTAGCTTCCCACAGTCTATTTAGGAGTTGCCTGGGCCATACCTTTTTTTTTTTTTAAAGAAAAAGAACTGGGATTTAGGCAGAATATAGTATTACACATCTTTAAAATTCTAACACTCAGGAGACAGAGACAAAGTTTCTCTGAGTTCAAAGCCAGCCTGATCTATATGGTGAATTTCACGTTAGACACATTGATACCCTGTCTCAAAAACAAAACTGTGACTCATCTGAGCCTGTAATCTCAGCACTAAAGGGGCTAAATAGGAATCAGACTCTCAAGTTTAAAGCCAGCCCCCCAAAACAAACAAACTTGGGGGCCACCAAAGGTCACTTGTACCACAATACTCAGATGACATGGCCCTGCTTTGTTCCCTAGCTCCATGAGCCAGGCACCACTCTCTCAGAGCTAGGTCAGGTCAGGAAGGGAGTGGCAACACCTGACCACCCCCCTTTCTTAGGAACTGTACCAGCTGTCCAAAGAAAAGGCAGACTTCGCTGTAGTGGCTGGAGAGGAGGGGAATTCCGCTACTGGAGATAGCAGTGGCGAGAATGAAGGCACTGCTGGGTCTGCTGCGGCCCCCAAGGCCCCTCCTAGTAAGTCCTACAGTGGCAAGAAGGCTGAACAGAAGCTGAATAACCCCAATAGCAGAGGTGGTAAGTAAAAGGGCCTGCGGTGATGGAGAGGGGTTGGGTAGGAAGGGATGGCAGGGCAGACATACATTGTGACTCTGAGGTCCTGTGATTAGGTGTCCACTACAACATTCAGTGCATTCTTGGCATGTGACTAGCCATGGACCAGAAACTGTTTTATTAGGCAGGCACCTCTTACCTGCTCAGCAAACTTAAGTGACAGAGTACCCAGGGCAAGCCAGTCTGACCTTGGAGCTAAAGGGTCCAGCTGATAGCCTTGCTCCCCTTTCTTTCATGAGCATAGCAGAAGTGCGGACCCACCTCTTGACCCCTGACTTTCAGGGCCACCAGCAGTCCTTTTCCCTCTTGCTTCTTATTCTTGGTTTGGTTTGAGTTTTGTGTTTTTTTTTTTAATAGCCAGGTTTCTACACCAGGCTGGTGTTTAACTCACTGTGTAACCCATCACGATCCTAAACTTCTAACCTTCTGCCTCTGCCTCCTTAGTGATGGGATTATAGGCATGTCCCAGTGTGTGCAGTGCTAGGGATTGGACCTAGTGCCTCCTACATGCTCGGCAAGTACTTACTAACTTTATACCCTGATCTCTGCTGTCCTACAGGCAACAAGGTGAGTCCAAAGCCTTCCCCCATGAAACCAGGAGACAAGCTGGCTGTGAAGTCTTCTCCAGTGAAAGTGGGGGTGAAGAGGAAAGCTGATGATGAGACCCAATGCCCAACAAAGGTGAGGGTAATAATAGTGCTTGAGACAGGCCGGGTTGGCTCAACCTGGAGCTCCAAGCTCCTGTGTGTAAAGTTGAAAAGGTGGCTATATTGGTGTGGGGGAAGGCTACTGGAGTCCTTCCCTTGCTGTTCTGAGCAGGCGAGCAGTCCTGCTGCTCCACCCTGTGCCCTCTTGTTGCCTTGCAGAGGCGGCGGGCCAGACAGCAAAGAGGAAGGAGAGCTGTGCCAACAGGCAGGAGATAGAGCCGCCGGCCTAGCAGGAGAGGCCGCAGGGGTCCAACCAGCCGCCAGTATCAAGTTACAGTTCACATTAAAAAAAAAAAAAAACGAAGCCCAGTCTGGGTGTGGGGTGCAGCAGTCTGTTTGTGTCTCTTGGAGCAGGCCCACCCAGCAAGGAGAGGGAGACTGCCATGGCATAGACAACTCCCAGCTAAGGAGCCTGTTTTCCCTTTTGTTACTCCTTGGTCTGACAACATCTGTTGAATACATACTGAGATCACTAAGTAGCTAGTGTGTTGTACCCTGGGTGGCTTCTGGCCCAGAGGGTAAATAAACATGATCAACAGAGAGATTGTACCCCTTCCCAAGCATAAGTACAGGGGTTGAAATCTCAGGGCCTGAACCCACTTCTCTGCAGAAATCATTTCCATCTGTCTTTCCTCCCTGAAGCCCTTGAACTCATCCACTCTAATGAGCAATCCCAGGGCCTCTATCTAGGTAACTGCAGAGCAGACTACTTCATCTTGAGGAGGTATTTTGCATTGGGTGTCTCTTGGACAGAGACCCTTTTTCATATCCTCACCTCAGATGTTGGAGCCCACCCTTTTCTCCTAGTCAGGGACAGGAGGAACTGTCAGACCTGGATTATCAAGAGTGACTAAAGGGTGGGTTAGCAACACCTCTGCCACTATCTGTGTCCTAAATCCTAGACTCTATGCATCCCTGGCTGTCCTGTCTTCTGGTGGGTGAAGTTCCACCTGCACCCAGTATAGATCGGCCTCACTCTGTGGACCACTCTGTTTGCAGGTGCTGTTGGATGTCTTCACCGGGGTACGGCTCTACTTGCCACCTTCCACACCAGACTTCAGACAGCTCAAACGCTACTTTGTGGCATTCAATGGGGACCTGGTACAAGAATTTGACATGGCCTCAGCCACACATGTGCTGGGTAACAGGGACGACAACACCGAGGCCCAGCTGGTCTCTCCAGAGTGGATTTGGGCATGTATCCGGAAACGGAGGCTGATAGCTCCCTGCTAGAACTTTGGTCTTCCTCTTTGGGCTGTCCTCACCTGCCCACTCTACTACTACCTGAGGCTCAGCCTGGATGGCAGGGCCTTCGCTAATCAGTGTACTTTCTTACACCCTCCAACCCTTCATGGTCCCTTCAGGAGTTAGTTGCTGTGGGCACAAGCAATTCTCTTGCTAGTTTAACTAGATCTTTCAGATCTGGGCACTAGCTTTGTCTTCTTGTTGAAAAAGAAGCCAACCTTAGTTATTTGAGGTGCTGATAACCAACCTGTACCCTTACACATGCTAGGCACAGTGTTCTGCCATTGAACTACAATTTTGTAAGAAAATTTAAGCCAGGCATGGTAGTGCATGAAGAGCAAGAAGTCAGGATCGAAAGACATCCTTTCCCCCCCAGTCCCCACCTCCAGTTTTCCTCAGTGACTAGGGAATGAAGGCTGAGCAGAATCTGCTTTCCGTGTCTGCTCCTTTTCACTGCACATGCATCTTAGAAGCTGTATTTAAGCTGTCCTCAGACACTTCTTATGTGGGGCAAAACCTCCATTATGCCTGATCCCTTTGCTGGGGTGAACCCTCATGTGAAAAAACAAGTGTACTCCAGTGATTGTAGTTTCCAGGTTCCAGCTTGGAAGGAGAGGCTGTCAGCTATAGGAAAAGTGGCCTCCTTGGAGACAAGAGACTTCATGGAGGAGGATTTGCCTCCTCAAAATCTGGACAACTCAGGAGTACAGAGCCATAGCCAGGAAACTCTACACACCCTGCTTACCAAGGCTGGCCCCTGTGCCACCTGTGGCAGATGTACTTGAAAGGCAAAAGATAATTACTTTGTATAACTGTATACAGTGGAAGTGTCCTAAACTAGCCTCATCTGGTTCTCGAGTCCTTGAAATGTGACACTGAAACCCTCATTTTAAGACAACTTCAAATGGTCTCAAGTCACCAGTGACAGTCACATACCATCTGAGCATCAGTTCCCCAAGAGGAAGGGGCAGAGGCATGGAACCACCTGGTACAGATGTTATCTGAGAGGTCTGGCTTGCCACCTTACATGTCGAAGTCACGCTTGGCTCTGAGCATGGGCTTCTCCAGGTACTGTGGTAGACTAGCTTCCAAGTCTATGCTGTGCCACCTCTTGAAGATCAATTCTCTGTTCTTCTAACCAACTCAACAGGGTTATCTGTAATCTCCTATAGGCTAGGTCACTATGACCAAACCTCTTAAACACTTGTGTGGATCTCTAAGATACAAACCTACCACCCCATGTATTCCCAATACCCTACTAGGAAGTTGCTTACTAATCTGGCTTTGCCTTTCACCTGTTTAAAATGTGCAGAGGGAAGACACAGTGAGTATAAGATGCTCTGACAACTAGGGCAGTGTGGGTACCACCATCTGGTAAATAAGATACTTTTTAATCCATCCTCAAAGAAAAAGACTGCTTTTTGCTTTGAGTACTTGCCTGCATAGATCTCCAACTTCCTTGGACCAAGCAGCTGGGTAGAGCATCAAAGACAATTCTTCCCCACCACACAGAGCCGAAAGTTCAGCCCTTTGTCCCTTGAATGCCTTACTATGTATTCACTCCAATTCACTATCCAGTGTTTATATGTTTCTTCCGGTCTTTCTGACATACTTCTCTCTGCAGGGAGATTTGGACTGTATGCACACCTTAAGTATCTTTTCCTGTCTTTCCACCCAACCCTAAGCAATATTACTCTAAACCTCCCTGCTCTCTTCGGCCTTTGTTTACATAGTGCCAGCCATGAGTGGTCATCACTGGATGCTAAACAGGTCAGCCATTAGCAAGATTTATTCCCTTTCAAGAGACAGGATAGACTCCGTTCTCATTCAGTTCTCCAGGAGGTAATACACTCCTCTGCCCTCAGGCACCTGGTCGGGTAAGTTAGTATAGGCCTGTGCCTATTTTGCAGTTTGCTCTTTAGGCTGGGTCAACCTTTGAGCCATTCTTGTCTGTCACAACTACATCCAAAAGCTACTATTTCAGAGTAACCAGGAAACTTAACTGGCTACCTAGCTGTCCTGAGATTCCTTTCCACTTAGCTCTTGAAGGCCCTTTTCCAGTGGGACGGTGTAAATAACCCACATGGTGCTTCCCATTTGCTCTTGAGAATCGTCCTTACACTAGCTCCGTTTCTAGTCGACACAGTTTCTCCATACACTTGTGATTGTAGGCAGTCACAGCATGCCGCAGGGGTGCCTTGACTGAGACCAGGCGACCCAAGCATATCCATAAGTGGAATGCAATCCCTGAAGACAGTAGCTCTGTGCATGTGGCCTGATGCTTGCCTACATTCACTAGTACTTTGAGGCCTCTGGCATCATCCCCACACCAGATGGGACAGCATCTGTATTTAAACTTTATTACAAAATTATAAAGCAGAGCTCTGTAACAAAAAATACACATTTGGGTTTGCTTTTTTAACACCCAGGTGAGAAATCTTAATATAAGCCACTTGGAGCAACACATTCACATCCAAGAGATTTTAACAAATTTGTACAATATAGACTATTAATTCCTTTACAGCTTATTAGTTTAGAACCAGCTATTCCAACCAATGAACCAGTTAGCTGTCTGTCTTTTAAAACTAAGTGTCAACTGAAATCTTGGCGCAATCACATCAAAATCCAGACTAGTTGAAAGGATTAGGTGTTTCCATGTTAATTAAGACCAAGGATCCATGAAGAACAGAAAGGGGCTCAAGTATTTATATATTAAAAAAAAAAAAAGGTTTTCTACCTGGGTTAGATGTTAACGGGGATGGAATCTTAGAATTCCAACTTTTATTTGGTGTAACAATAAAAAAGTTGTTTGACATCTGTTTTGTTTTTTTTTTCCCCCACAAAGAAAACAAAAGATAAAAGTTCTTCAAAATAAGTAACCTTAGCTATGACTCGCCCTTAGGTCACTAAAAGGCCATCAGTATATTATTTCTGTTCCTGTTTAGGAGGTAGGGAGGTAAGGCCTCAGAAGAGAAAGCAGTTAAGAAGAGAGAGCCAGCTTTGAGTATTAGGTCTTAACTGAGCTGCATAATCAGACCTGTTTCACAGTGGAGTCCAGGAGCAGCAAAATTGGTGAGCTGTGCTAGACTGAAGACATTGTAAACTACAGTACTCACTATCCAGAGAGGGAGGGAAGGCAGTCTTTATAGAGGGGTCCTCTTGATTCTTGACACCTACAAAGGCTTTGACCCACACCCTGGCCATGTGGACCTAGAATGCACAGGTAAAGTGGGCTGAGTGTCTATGACAACTATTCATGAAACTACTGGATTTCCTGAAGGTATTCAGTGGTTAATGGTGGGAAGAAAGTCTTAAGTATTTCTAGTAGCCCCTTAGAGGTGAACCTCTGCTTCCCAGGGTCATGACTGGTTCTTTCAGTCTCAGCTGCACGGTGGAGAGTAGCAGCTTTACCCAGGTGCTGTAGTGCTGAGGGTGCATCCTACAGAGCACACAGCTCCTTGTGTTATTTGTTGAGCTGTTCCAGAAAACACCACTCAAACTCTTCAAGTTGTGTCAGTGGTGTAAAGATCCCACGAGGCTGGAATCATGATTTAAAGAATGCTTCATTCTGACCTGTCCAAAAGGCAAAGAAGCAGCCATGGACATAGTCCATTCTCACTCAGCACCTTCCAGTACCTCATACACTATCCTATATGCCTGCTCTCTGGGATCTCCATGAGCAGCCAAGCTAAACAAGAGCAGAGCTCTTTGCTGAAGTTCCTATGTCTTCGGTAAGCAAATTTATATCCCAAAGAAGTGAAACTATTAAAGCTTTTAAAAAAAAAATGTAGCCTGCTGAAAATGAGGATCTGAAGCCAGCAATCAACAGAAAGCCATTGCCTCCATTTCTCTTTCCTCGTTATCCCAGGTTAAGGATGGTGCAGTCAAACCCAAAGAAAAGCAGCAGACATGACCCATGCACCATCTCTTAAGGACTCCCCACCAGTTTAGGGGTAAGGTCAAGGGACAGATCATTTCCAACCCCAACACTAACAGAAGTGACTCAACTTAAGAAATTCTTCTACAGCATTTAGACTTAATTTCTCACCAGAGACCAGTCTACTGATTCAAATTCTGACCTGGGGAATACTATTGGTCTGGTGGGGTGTGTATCCATAGAAACAAATGGATTTTAGGCAACGTAGCACACTTAAATTTCTGGTTTCTGTGTGTTTTAAATTCAACTTCTGAGGGGATGGGAAGCATTTCCAGCAGGACTCTCGATTGATGAAACAGGAGGAATGGTATTTGGGATGTGTGAAACGTGTCTTAGGTTTTCAGGAAGGGAAGAAGACATGGTCCAAGTTCTAGAAAGTCCTCTTCATTGATTACCATCACCACCCCATGATCTGAGAAGCATGCACTCACCCATGTGATCTGAATTAGTTCCCACTGGTTTTGGGTTCTGCCACCTAAGAGGTATACACCATGTCAAGACAGATACGCCAGGCACCTCTGCTTGTCCTAGTCTTGAGAACATGGCCAGTTTCTCTCAATAAACCGCCTTTGTGCATCAGACCAACCCTGAGCCCAGACATTTTGAGCTATGTCCTCTAAGGCACTGAAGAAGCCAATGCTAGCCCTCAGGACCGGAAGACGTGCACTGCTCGGATGACATACTGCCGGCAGATAGGACATTCATTCATTCGTTTGCCACACTTGGTACAGGTTACCATGTGGCCACACTCCAGCAGAACACAGTCAATGGGTGAGTCCATGCAAATCTTACACAGGTTCTCCTCCAGGCCAGAAGGCACTGCTCCCCCTGGACAAACAAGGCAGAAAGGAAGAAAGGATTAGGTCTGAGTGTATTAGGGGCTACATGGAGAAAACCCTCAAATTCAGGACTCAGAACTAGAAAGAAGGAACTTAGGACAAGGAGTTAGCTATAATACAGCCAGTAAGCAGGGTTTATGTACCACACATCCCCTGAGGTAGAATGTACAGAAATGATAAAACTGGTTCAGGAAACTTTGGATATAAACAGAACTGTAATGAATGGTTCATTTTGAAATCATAAGTCTTATCTATGAACACATTCCCAACTTAATAAAGCTGAGAATCATGTGGGACCCCATGTGCTATCCCACAATCTACCTCTAGGGTTCTGAAAAGACTTCCTGATAGGAGCATGGGCAGACACGCTGTTCCCTTTTCTGTGCTACAATCATTGAATTTTATTCCTACCCCTGACTGCTTATCATACTTCATGATAATTCACTTATCTCCCACAATAGACTAAGAGCTTCTTAATTCAGCTTGTTCAATCATAAGCTTAGCATTTCCTTTGTGTTCTGAGGTCAGATACTTATCTTTGAATTGAATTCCCAAAACATGAATCACGTGGTAGGTATTCTTTAAACATCTGATAAAGAACATTCTGCCCAGGGAGTGATCGCTACTCATATTGACTAGCTGCCTACCGTGTGTCAGGCAGGGTCCTAAGAGCTTTCTGTATTAACCCAGAGGTGTTCAAGAAGGTTCTTTAGATGAGACAACTTGGGCTAGAGTTAAGTGGCTTGTCCAAGGACATAGGGCTGCTGAGGTGGCTCACAGTCAAATCAGAGAGGCTCATGGACATATGGCCTTCTGGACAAGCGCTCAGGGCAGAGGCTATCAAGACTGTACTGACTGCCTGATAGTTGAGAACAAGAGCTCTCAATGCATACTAACTGGCTTATGCTAGTGGTGGACACAGCTATCCTAGTTCAGCTGAGAAAAAACTTTACACTCAGAAGCTCACCTATCTGCAGTATGTCAAACTAGCCTAAACTAAGCAGCCATAAAGCAGAATTGTTCTCATACCAGCCACATCTCCCACCTGGATTTTTCCAGGGGAATTATCCTTTATCTGATGCTTCTAGATTTTCTTTTCTATTCTGGGCTAGTCTAAAAATTAAGGTCATTGAATGCCCAAATCCTCTCATGTACATTTGTTTATTGCTAGTTTGGTAATTCTGGATTATTTTCATGTAGTTATTTAAAATACAACTATGAATGAAATACACATCATGTCAAAGAACACTTCCCACAGGAGGCAGCTGGCTGTGTTTGGTCAACCTAGTTAAAGCCCCTTGTGGCCTTAAGACAGAGGTTAGAAAGGTACAGGCATACCTAAAACAAGCTTGAGTCATTTACAGAATTCCAGTCACTCATTACTTCACTGAGGAGAGACAATAAATGCATCAGCTCAGTGCTCAGCACTCTCCAGCAAATGAGAAGAAGGATGGGATCAAGTAGATTAATCTGATCTTGGTATTATCTGGGGTGGAGGTGGGAGAGGGTAACCCAGATGATTACAGGGCCTAAGAAACATGCCCAACACTGCCCAGTCAGCACAGAAAGCCATTTTACTTAGGATAAATCAGGGAAATCTTCTGAAAAAGTGCTCTATAGACTGCACACTACTGAGAACAGTAGTGGGAAGTCTGTGCCCACGTTCTTCGAGGATTTCAAAAGTGTACAATGTGGTGACATCCCACAAGCTACTGGAGTTCTATGATGTACTCTGAAGATGCCACACTGGTGGCCTTTAACACACAGGTGGGTATTAAGGAAGCCAGGTGAGATATGTTGTCTCCTGAGCATCTCTGACTATCATCTCTGATTACCGTCTCTTGGGTCACCACCCTTGCTTTTTGTTTTGACTGGCAGACACTTAAGTGGGCTAGGTGCAGTGGTATAAGCCTTTAATCCCAGCATTTGGGAAGCAGAGGCAGGTGATTTCCGAGTTTGAAACCACTTGGTCTACATAGTTGAATTCCAGGGCTGCCAGACAGACACAGAGACAGACAACATCTTAAAAATCAAAAAACTCAAATGACATCCCATCTCTGCAAGTATAAACTCTCCCCAGACATACCACAATGAGAGACTGAGCATGGTAATCCCCACACAGGGTATCTTATCCAATCAGCCAAGTCCGTAGGCTGCTGTGGCCTTCCTTCATATGGGTGGGGCAAGGAGAAAGCCTGATTCCGTGCTTTCCACAGCCTCTCTATAAACACATATGCCTACAGTTCTTAGATTGTGAACAGACATCAGGACTGCAGACAGGAAAACAAAACTGCTAAGAGCCTAAGGCCATCCTTAACAGAAACAACTACATACCGTTTTGGTCTTCATCACCGGACACTGAAAAGGAGAGAAAAGGAAGTGTGAGTATGAGTGTGGTGGTACAAAGGTCGTCTCCCACCACCCTGCCATCATTTCCGAACTCCGATCAGCTCTAGGCTGAGAAGGGGGCCTGGCTGGAATCTGGATGGGCACTAGCTCACCCTCCCCCACTCACTCAGTGCTGAGAACTCACACATGGATCCCAGCTGTACTATCTGCTTTGTTCTGAGAAAAGCAGGTTCCACTGGTCTACAGTGACCACTGTGTCAGCTGAAAGGAGACTGCACATACATAATACCTTTTAATGTTTCCTCTGAAGCCATCATTGAGTAAAAGGAATGAAGAATTCGACTATTTCAATGAGCCAAGGAGTCTGCCAAAGCTCCCACATGCAGTTATATTATTGCCAGGCATGGTGGTACATGCCTATAATCCCAGCACAAGAGGCAGAAGAAGGATCATGAGTTCCAGGCCAGCCTGAGCTATTAAGAGCCTGTTTTTAAAAACTACGAGTGGTGGTGGTGGTTGTACACACCCTTAGTTCCAGCACTAGGGAGGCAAAGGCAGGCAGAGTTGTGTGAGAGTTCAAGGATAGTCAGAGCTGTTACACACCCTGTCTCAAAAAAAAAAAAAAAAAAACCAAAAAAAAAAAAAAACACCACCAGCACCAACAGCCGCAGTACAGTGCAGGACAGGTAAGTGGATTCTCTGTGAGTTGGAAGCCAACCTAATCTCCATAGCAAGTTCCTACCCAGACACGAGACAGGAATACACAGTAAGATCCAGCATTAACAAACAAACATCAAAAAAAAAAAACCTCCCAAAGTTTTTGGAACTCTAAGGAGACTCGAGATAATCCCAAAGAGAAAGAGAAGATAGACTCCTTGTCAGGCTCCAGGTCTATAACTGGTGCAATTAGGACTTCCCCTAACTTGGTAGTCTGTTACTCAAATTTATTAGAGGAAGGCCTGAAGCTTGGTTTTAACAGCCATTTATCATACAAGGAATCAAAATGCTCAGAGAACTAAATCAGCTGGTGATGAGAACTTCCAGTTCAACCTGACAAAGGAAGGGGTGGGGGTGGGGATAAGCTCCGTGATAGAATGCTTGCTTAGTATGTGGACAAAGACCCTGGGTTTGATCCCCAGCACCAGGGAAGAAAACCCAAGCTATGGCGATTGTGCTGGGGATGCAGCTTAATGATAGAGTGTTTACCTAGCAAAACAGCCAAACACATTTCTCTTTTGCAGGACTTGCCTGCATTTAGTAGAAAAACATCTTCAATGAATTAGTGTGAGGACTGCGTAAAACATCTCAAATGACACCATGTAAATGCTCTGGGAAGTGAACACAAGAAAAACTTCACTATATGCTAGAATTTGCTTTCCAGCCCAAAACTGACTCAAAGTAAGTACTGTTGGTAGCATAGGAATGAGTATGGAGCTCGTGTCATGTGGCAGGAAGACATTGGGCTTAGAAATTCTTAGTTCAAATCCTGGCTGTCTAAGTGATACTAAAACAGCCTACTGCTTAGGCTGCTCTGAGAGTTAAATTGTATATTCAACGCCTGTCCCTAGTCTTGGTACTTGAGAAGTACAAAAGTGTAGGCTGGCTTCCTCTGAGGCTACATGTGGATCAGATTAAGTCAGTCTGATACCATCACATGTGGCATGGCAGCAGAGAGCTCTGTCTGTTCAGTCACCACCCAGATAGCCCCTCACCCAGGTGCTGGAGTCCTTTCTGATCCTTGTACCCAGATAGCCCCTCACCCAGGTGCTGGAGTCCTTTCTGATCCTTGTACAGTCGAGTCACCCTCTCCATCAGTTCCCACTTCTCACAGCAGCCCTTATAGTTGACAAAGTTGCGAGCCAGAATCTCCTTCAGCTGCCGCACCGTCAGGCTTTCAATGTCCTCCAGGTGGGTCAGGTCAGACAGTGAGGCTCTCCGGCCAGGGACAAAGCTGTCCTCTGAGCCAATGGACTGCAACAGCAAAGACGTGATGATCAGCTGGTTCAGTTGTGTCCTTTGGGCTCTCTTCAAGGAACCCAGAGTACCCATCAAAATGCACTTTGTTGACCAACCTCAAGGAACATGGAAAAGAGGGTTCCTGGCACAATGTTTGGCACAGTAAAATCGACTCATCTTTCCCTGCCCCATCATGCTGTGTTTTGTGCAGACAGCCACACAGTCACTTAGCAGTACTACGCACACAAGGAGCACTAGTTAGTTGGCTAGCGGGCCCCAATTCTCAATGCTGATGTCGCCATTAAATATTAGACATTATTTTTTTCCAAGTTGTTTACCATCTTGAGCCTGTTACCCCTCCCCAAAGGAGAGACTGCTATCCTGACACACAGGGTTCCTGTGGAAAGTAAATGTGACAGTATAGGAAACTCTTTCTCAGTACAGACTTCCCTGGAGGGACTCCACACATGGCCTCGCCTAAGCTCTATGGCCCCTCAGAACCATGCTCTCTCTGTACGGTCCCTTGTGTGGATGAGGCCTGAAAGCTTTATCTCACCTCCTTTTCCAACAATGGCTACTGCACCCTAGGCACCCAGGACAAGAAGACTTTCATAGAAGCACCCAGAGCACGCCCTCTGGCAGCTCTCAGAAAGACTGTGGGCCAGGAGGTTCCCCTTCCTCCACTGTGGCCTCGCATCTGCTTGCTCACCCTGACAGCAATAAACGTTAATCTGGAATGCCAATCCTCAGAGACTGACCCTTCTTGTTCCACCCGAGTCTGCTGAGGCTCCTAAGAACATCCCAAGAAGACCAAGGAAAGAACAAAGGCAAAGGCACGGACCGAGCAGAGGCCCACCTGGGTCTCATCCTCGGTAGGTACTCTGGCTGTGCTCTCCAGGAAGACAGGCTCCTCGTGGTCCTGAGACACATGGCCAGTGGCCTGTGGGAAGAAAAAGGTGCCATCACATCCACAGAGATGTCCCAGTGACTTACATAGCATGGGCCTCTTTCAATTCATACAAATGTCCAAAATGTATTCCCATCTCCCCAAAAACCAAGGCTCCCTCCCAAAGCAGTACCACAAATGCCTGCTTTCTAACAGCAACTCTCTCAGGCAGAGAAACAATTCAGTGGATGAAAAGGTGCGTCAAGAACAAGAGCGCACATCATTAATCACAGAGTTCAGGAAGCAGAAGCAGACGATCTCTGTGAATTCGAAGCCAACCTGGTCTACAGAGCTAGTTCCAGGACAGCCAGGACTACACAGAGAAACCCTACCTCAAAAAACAAACAAAAAAAACCCAGAGTGCTCTAATTCTGTCCACCAGAAAGACAGGTATCAGCCATATATTATCACCAGTTTGCTCTCAACTTGGACAGTTGAGGTGAAAGCTTTCTTTCCACCACATTATCACTGAACACTATGAATGCCAAATGCCCTCCCCCATAGTCTTCACCCATTACCCCAATTCTGCCTCTAGACCAGTGCCCACTAGTTTTTCCAAACACCTCATTCACATCCTTAACATAAATCTCCCTGGCCTAGCTGGGTGATGGTGGCGCACACCTTTAATCTCAGCACTCAGGAGGCAGAAGCAGGCGGATCTCTGTGAATTCACGACTAGCCTGATCTACAAAGCAAGTTCCAGGACAGGCTCCAAAGCTACACAAGAGAAACCCTGTCTTGAAAAACCAAAACTCCCTGGTTTCAATTGACCATCATCCACCCCAAATCACACACTGCAGTCTCTCACATTCTAGAAATGTGTTCTAACAAGAAGGACATGGCATGACATACCTGTAGCTGCTCAAATATGATTTAATGAATTTAGGAACCTAACACCCTAAGACTACAGGACACAAATGCCTCAGCTTGGGTTCCATTTTATTCAGCATTCTAACTTCTCAAAAGGTCAGAATTGTGGCTTCCTAACTCTTATTAGCAACTTCTGCCACAAACCCCTACCTAGCTCCTTCTCTTCACTTCCTGCTGCCTCCAGGCAAAGGGTCTATGTGAACTCAGAGCATAAGACATGTATGAGTTCACAGACCTTTCCCCTAGAACCTGGATGAACAGTAAAGACACAACTTGGGCTGGGCAGTGGCGGCACACGCCTTTAATTCCAGAACAGCCAGGTCTACAGAGAGAAGCCCTGTCTGGAAAAAACAAAAAGGAAAGGGGGGGGGGGAGAAAGAGAGAAAGAGACAGACAGAGACAGACAGAGACACAGACACAGAGACAGAGACTCAGACAACCTGGGAAACTAAAGGCTCTAGCCTTTCATTGAGAGGCAAACAATTACAATAGAAATGAAAAGCAGAGCTTAAAACACCCTAAGGGATGACAGGAACTCATGGGATGCAGCCAACAGTGGTGGCATCAACACCTCTGGCTTCCTACTAGTTTTATGTAGATGTGGAACCCACTGGCCCTCAGGGGCCTTCCGTAGGCTAATCTGTCCCAGAGTAGACACTTTTGAATGTCTTTTGTTCCCTAGAAAGAGCAACTGGAATCCATGCTGCAAATACTTTTATCTTCCCAGTTTGCCTACTGGGTAAATAAAAATCTTCAACTAACATCTATCTGTCCACTATTCTGCTTACTGAACAGACATTTCCTTCCCTAGCAAATACTGCTAGGACATCAAAGCTCTAGAACTGTTAGATTTGTTTCCCTGCTTGCTGTGATGTAGCATACAGCCTTGTTCAAGTTATTTAACTTCCTCATGCTTACTTTTCCTGTTTGCAAGGTTCAGGTATCAACAGAACAGAAGGAAATTGGCACTAAATATCAAGAAGAAAAGTTCCCAATAACACACAGTACACAGTATGACCTGTTAGTATAGGAAAATTCTGGTTAATGACAAAATGGTAAATTTGTAATCTTACATTGAAAATCTCCTGAAGGTTCATTCTCTAACCCCTAACCCTGCTTCCTCTTTTGAGACAGGGTTTCTCTGTGGCTTTGGAGGGTGTCCTAGAATTAGCTCTTTTTTTTTAAAAGATTTATTTATTTATTTGTTTATTTATTTATTATGTATACAGTATTCTGCCTACATGTATGCCTGCTGGCCAGAAGAAGGCACCAGGTCTCATTACAGATGGTTGTGAGCCACCATGTGGTTTCTAGGAATTGAACTCAGGACCTTTGGAAGAGCAGTCAGTGCTCTTAACCTCTGAGCCATCTCTCCAGCCCCTGCTTCCACTTTTGATACAGAAATCTCATGCCTTGAACAACTCACTATGTAGAAGAGGCTAGCCTCAAACTTTTTTTTTTTTTGGTTTTTCGAGATGGGGTTTCTCTGTAGCTTTGGAGGCTGTCCTGGAACTCACTCTATAGACCAGGCTGGCCTCGAACTCACAGAGATCTGCCTGCTTCTGCCTCCTGAGTGCTTGGATTAAAGGTGTGTGCCACCAACGCCCGGTCTAGCCTCAAACTCTTGATCCATGTGCCTCCATCTCCACAGCACCACATCTGACCTGCCTAAAGGTTCTTCATGAAAAAAACACGTACTCTGGATCCTCTGTTTGCTCATTACATGCGGACTAGAGTGCTCCAAAATTCCAAGCAAAAAAGGAAAGCATAGCAATAAAACCTGTCCAACAGACGGAGAGCCAAAGCCTAGGAGAGCATTAATGACCAGCTGCTATCATGCTGGCCTCTAAATGTGCTAAGAGCTGAATGAGTGCCAGTTCTGGCAAGGGTGGTAACCATAGACTAGAGGCACAGTCACCCAAGTCATATGTGGGAAAGGAGCTGCCAGTCCTCAGCAGCTCCATGCTCCATAGATATACTATGGTAATTGAGCCTCTCTGCAACCTAGCAAGCCCAAAGGGATACGATCTCTTCTATTGTTGTAGGCTCACAGTATGCCCCAGACCACCAAGGAGTCAAACAAAATTAATTATGGGGTTGGTGGTGTAGCTCCATGGGAGAGCCCTTTGCCCAGAATGCTTGAGGTCCTGAGCTGAATATCTAGCACCAAATTAAACAAAAATCAGCTGGGCTGTGGTGGTGCATGCCTTTAATCCCAGCACTTGGGAGGCAGAAGCAAGTGGATCTCTGAGAGTTTGAGGTCAGCCTAGCCTACAGAGTATATTCCAAGACAGCCAGGGCAGTTATACAGAAAAACCTGACTTAGAAAGAAAAAGAAAAAAAAAAAAATCAGTGGCTATGGAGTCCTGATCTAGGTCCTAATTTTATAGTGTCCGTGTCCTGTGACTCTCAGCATCAGCAAGGGACTTGTACAGATCTGTGTGACACCACCACTCCTAACAAACCCAAGAGCGGTATTATGCTCAGCTTCTCTCTCCCAAGGCTTCCTGAGGGTGGAGACAGTGTCTGCTTACTACGGACTCTCCATGCTTCACCCTGCTTCTCTTGGCTTACCTAATGAGACAGCTCCCACACAGGGACCAGGACAGTAGCAAGGCGCTTCCCACCTCTCCCCTCCCTGCCCAGTCAGAACAGACCAGTCAAAACCCTAGTAAGCTGGAGGGCAAATCAAAACCAAACTAGAGAAGTAATTGTGACTTTCCTCACAATGTTTCTGCAGCAATGATTTTTTTTTAAGCCTAACTAGGGAATGAAGGTATTACAAACAAAACCCACAAAAACATGGTACCAAAGCTGGGCATTGGTGGCGCACACCTTTAATCCCAGCACTCGGGAGGCAGAGGCCTATGAGCGAGTTCCAGAACAGCCTCCAAAACAATACAGAGAAACTCTGTCTCAGGAAAAAAAAAAAAAAAACATGGTACCATGCCTACCATCCGGAAAGCCAAAGCATGAGCCTAATGACCAGGGAATATCATATCCAGAATCAACAGGCAGAAAGGCTTCACACCATCTAGACATGACCTCACACCCCATTCCCACAATGCAATGGGAGAGGAAAAGGAGTCCTGGAGCAGACACGAGATGAAGAGACTGCATGCTGGCCCCTACCTGGTTTTCCTGAGCCGGGGCTAGGGGAACACAGGTGGCTTGTGCAGGTGAGGAGGGTGAGGTAGGCGGTACTGTGCTGATGTGAGGCTGGGTCAGGAAGGCCTGCTGCTCAGGGAAGTCCTGGGACAAGGTGGGAGCATGAGTCCTGTCCACTGCAGAGATTACAGGCTGCTGGCCAAGCACCAAAAACACCAGCTCTTCTTTCTCCCGGCACATTTCGGTAGAGATGTCATGGAGGCTGAGATAGTCCCTCAGGTCCTTCACCTTCATCTTCATGAGTTCCTCCCGCTGAAAGGCTGTGGCTCGGAACCTTAGGCAGAGGAGGCAGAGGCGTGGTCCATTCCCCTCTTGGCTTGAGCAAGTCATGCAGAAATGTTTCTTACAGTCCAAGCAGGTCTGCTGCTTAGATCAAGAGACAAGGGAAATCGCGTCAGCTCGGAAGAACAAGTCAGGAAGTGAGATGGGAGCTACAAGGCCACCGGGGCCAACAGGACCTCCTCCGGTAGCTCCTGTCTACCAAACTGTTCCCTAGATTGAGCCAAGGTTGAGCCACACTGTGGCTTTCAGGTTAAAGGCCACTTGGAGGTGGTAGACTGCCTGTGGCTGTATCCACCAACAGGACACCTGACATTTACACACTATGCATATACACAACACAATCATTTATGTTTATGCTTTCATTTAAGGCTTATGCAATTTTTGCTTGTTCATTTGTTTGTTTTCCAGACAGGGTTTCTCTGTGTAGCCTTGGGAGTCCTGGAACTCACTCTGTAGACCAGGTTGGCCTTGAACTCAGAGATCTGCCTGCCTGTCTTGGAGTGCTGGAACTAAAGGTATGTGCCACAACCATCCAGTAGCTTAAGTAAGTTTTAGTTCACAAAAAGAAAAAACAACAACAAAAAATCACCAACAACAAAAACCTGAAGCTGTAGCACTCCCAAGTGCTGGGATCAAAGGTGTGAGCTGTTTCTCTTTTAGACTGATTCACTCTCATGTAGCCCAGGGTGGCCTTGAACTCACAGAGATCCATCTGCCTCTGCCTCTGCCTCCCTAGTGCTGGGATTAAAGGTGTGTGCCACCACCACACATCCAGTCTTTGGGTTTTTGAGATAGGGTCTCAATGTATAGCTCAAACTGGCCTCCATTGCAAGCATGTGTCACCATGCCCACCTAGCAACTATTGTTCAAAATGGTATCAATAGAATTTACAACAGTAAGACCTGGCTTATTCTTTCATTCTCAAAGCCCCTTAAAAAGTACTAGTATTCTTCCCTGATTTACAAAGAGAGGAAACCAAGAATCAGGGAAATCAAGTATTATATTCAAGGTCAGATAGTAAAGGCGGAGCTGGGATCAGCCAATGCCCTCAACCACATTCATTCCATGTGGCCATGATGCCTTGCTGAGTCCCACACAAGCAGGCAACAGGACCAAATCAGGGGCCTGGCTTCCCACTTCCAAACTTCCTAGTCAGTGCCCTGTCCATAGAGACTGCTCACAGATTCCCTTCTTCAGCAAGCCCATTCAGAGTGCTGGAAGTAGGCGGTACACAAGGGCACTTTGAGATAAATGTTTGGACAGGACAAGGGACCAGGATGCTAGCTTCTCTCCTTTATGAAAGCACACAGTGTTTCAGTTTAGAGACAAGTGTGACTGACCCGCAAGCTGGCACTGCCTGGTGCAGCTACTTCCACAGTCACAGACACCACACCAAGGCTACTCCATCCACAGGCTTCACAAGTACAGTGGTGACATTTGACTGAGCTCTGCTCCAGCCAATGACAGGACACTCTCCCAAGAGGTCATTCCTCAACACCTTGGGGTTTATTCAAGGGCACCTTCTCAAGAGGTTAGGAACTTTTCATTTCATAGTCACTTAAATGTCACATTAGCTTACAGGTTTCTGCTTCCTTTTTCTCAATATGGAAATCTGTTCAGCTACAAAAGGAACACCTGAGACACATTCTCAGAGGCAGGATCAGGGCAATCTTCGTGCGGGGACTGAAGAGTTCACACATAGTTAGTTTTGTTTACTTGCCATCCACACAGTCCAGGCAAAGCAAGAAAACCTGGGTGCTACAAGGGAACCCTCACCAATCCTCTTTTCTACTCTGCTATAACCAGACAGTAAACTGTGCAGACACCGAAAAGGATGTGTGCCTACACCAGCAAACAACAGTTGTGACCAACAGACATGGAAGTAGAAAATGGGAGTTGAGTATTTGGGGTTCATTCCTGATGCCTGGCTGCAGTACCATGAAGTTGTGGTCCCCAAATAGAGTGTTACTTAAGTCATTGCACTTTGACAAGACTGAGATAGACACAACTATGAAGCTTGTGTTGCTCAGTCAACCAGATCCAAATATCTCTCTTCTTCAAATGTGTGTTGCCTTTGGGTACAAGATCAGAAGTCAAGGATGACAACCCAGTTTCTGCTATCCCTGCCCACCAGGGAGTCTGAAGTACACCTGCCTCTGAAACAGCTCTAAAGGAGGAGGGAGGGCCTTGAGTACAATGATGGGAAGCAGCAGAGAGAAAGGAAGAAGGCTGTCAACAAACCAGAGAAGGAGCAAAGGACAGGCATGTGTAAACTCTAACCAACAGGTCAAACCAGGGCCTGGGTTTTTTCCCCTTCACCCAGCTGTTCTTACTTCCCTAGTGCATCCTCAACCAAATTGATACTGCACAGGCCCACTCTCTCATCCTGCAGGCTTCTGCACCACTGAAATACCAGAGATCATTTATATAAAATGTCATAAGACAGACACTCACAGGAAGGCATTATTACTCTCTTTCCCCTCTAGTCCATCTCAGATCTTCTCAACATCAAAGAACCCACTTCTGCTCTGCATCTGCATACTATGCCCAAGCGCCAACCTAGTACAGCGTCCTCCACCACCTCCTAAGGGTCCAGCCGAAGAGGCTGGGCACCAGAGCTCACTCTGAAACTGTTAGGCCACTGCAATATTATAGGTGGGCACTACCAGTACAGATGGGACAGTTAGCTTACGGCAACTGGGCAGCCTGCCCACCCCTTCTCTCCAGGATTGGGAAGCTGGAGGAAGAAGGTGGCATTTCTGACCTGTAGCTCTCTAAAAGTCTTTGCTGTTATACATGCTTTGAAACCAGTGAGCAGGTAGGAAATACTGACCACAATGGAAAAGAAAAAGAAAAAGAAAAGAAAAAAAAGAAACGATGGTAGGATCCATGTAATCAAGGCAATTCAACTACTTCTAGAAAAGCTACTTTTTGGCTGGGCCGTGGTGGCACATGCCTTTAGTCCCAGCACTTGAAAGCAAGAGGCAGGCAGATCTCTGTGAGTTTGAGAGCAGCCTGGTCTACAAGAGCTAGTTCCAGGACAGCCTCCAAAGCAATACAGAGAAACCCTGTCTTGGGGAAAAAAAAAAGCTACTTGTTAAAAATCTCTGGCTGGAAAATGCCAAACCCGTAAGAAGGCCAATCCACTTAAGAATGAAATGACAAAGGAGAAATACCTGCAGTAGAAAACATCCTTAATATTCACAAAATTCACTGTAAACTGCACAAAATTAATTCATAATTTAGAGCAAGAAAACATTATATCAATATCATCTTTCATCATCCAAATTAAGATCTGCCTCCCCTGATGGAGCATTTCGGGCCACGGTGACTTTGCCCTTGTACTCTGCCTTGACCCCTCTGTCCACTGTAAGCTCCCTAAGCAGGGAGGGATAACCTCCTTCATCCCTGTCTGCTAGCCAGGCACCGTCTGACACCAGTCAGATTTCAGCACGTATTTCCAGTGGCGGAGGAGGGCAATGTTAATCATGCCCATGCTCCCGAGAACCTGGGCCTGCTGCCTGCCACCTTCAACACTCCACATGTCTACCTGGAGGCTACTGACAATCTAGGGTCTGAGTTTGAATCACACTAACCATGTGATAGTGAAGTGTCATTTGTGAGAAAAAGAAGAGTATGCTCATGTCTCTTGCTATTTACCAAGAACCTGACATGTTTACTTTTAAAACTGTTTTTCTTTTCCTTTGGTTTTTCAAGACAGGTCTCTCCTTGGCTGTCCTGGAACTCACTCTGTAGACCAGGCTGGCCTCAAACTCAGAGAGTCACCTGCCTCTTCATGCACTACCACCAGCCCACTTTCTTTTTAAAACAGGACTTGGTGGTTTCTAAAACTGAAATAGTTACTGTGAGGATTAAATGAAACAAACAAAGATCTAAATTTAAAAATATCTGCTGACACTGGTGGCACATGTCTTTAATCCCAGCACTAGGGAGGAGGATTTCTGTGAGTTCAAGGCCAGTGTGGTCTACAAAATCGAGTTCCAGGATAGCCAGGGTTACACAGAGAAACTCTGTCTCAAGAGACAAAAAAAAAAAAAAAAAACAAAAAAAAACAAAAAAAAAACAAAACAATCTCAGCAAGGAATAGTAGCATACCTGTAATCTTACCATTGGGAGGCTGAGGTAGGAGGCTGCCTGAGTTTGAAACCAGCTAGATTAACATGGTGAGGTCAAGGCTAACTTAAGTTATAGAGAAAGACCCTTTCCAAAAACAACAAAATTCCAAAACAAAAACTAAAAAGTCTTAGTAAAATTAAAGTCTAAATTTTTTGTTGTTGCTTGAAACAGGGTTTCACTATATAGCTCAGAGTGACCTCGAACTCAGTACAGCAAATGTATTTCACACCTGACTAAAACCCTCAACAGTTCCTCTCATACAGTGGAAAACTTAAAAGAATCCCTTGCCCCTGGTTTCCCATTGTCACCATCTTATCCTCGAATCCTGGGCTATGACCCTCTTGCTCTGCAGGACATGTGCTGTCTAAGGGCACTAGCAAAGGGACAGCCAGACCCCACTACAGACCATTGCAGATGGTGTCTATGCTCGTGAGTGGGACAGTCACACAGCTGGTTGGCAGTGAAGCTGGTGGCTGTGCAGGAGCAGCTGCTCCGAGGGTATGCAGAGATGCTTTGCCTTCACTTGAACAGCTATTCTTGGATATTCTTATGATTAGGACAGACCTGGATCTCCAGCATCACACAGGTAGAAGCCAGGGGGCTGGCCTGAGGATCTGGGGTCACAGTGCAATGACACTTACCTTTCGGGTTGTGTTTGCGAAGTGGACCCCACAGGATTTGCAGCTTGGTTCTGAGCCTGTGGGGGAAGGGAAGGAGCTGTACCCAGGGTTGGAATAGGCTTGTGTCCTGGCTCCCTGTGGTGGTGGGGCTTCCTCAGGCTGTCCATCCAAGCAGAACCAGTTGCAGCAGGATGCCCACATGATAAAATCTGGTACAGGAGAGGAAGAGGTAAGAGTTAGGATGTACCATTACTACAGTTTTATCCCCAAGGACACAGGTAGAGCAGGATACACATCTCCACACCTGCTGAGTATGAAGCAATGGACGGCTTGTCACCTCTCCTACCACAGTTAGTGCTCCACCAGAGCACGGTGAGCTACCAGGCTAGTATAAAGCCTTTGTAAGATTGCCTGGTCCTGATTTGTTTAATCTGAAATCTCACTTCACTAAAATTCATTCTTACCTTACAATTACAACTGGCTTAATATCCTCTTTGTTCAAAACCATGGCTCTGCCCTGAAGCTCAGACAGAACTTTCTGTCACACACACACACACTGACCATGGAGGGTGTGTATTATAAACAGGCAAGCCAGATACAGTGACATACACCTGCAGCCCCAGCTATGTAACTAGGCTAGGAGGAGGGGTAACTTGAGCCTGGGCAACAGAACAAGGCCCTGTCTGAAACCAACCAGGCCCCAGAAGTATAGAGCTAACACCAGAGACTAACGAGAAGACAGACTGTAAAAGCCCAGGTCTTCAGATTTTAAGTCCAAGGTCTTACCCTCACACCACGTTACCCTGACTTTCCCTCCCACTAGCCTATACAAAATACTCTTAATCCTCTAAACTTCTGCGACTGCAGTGTTCTTAAAGATTTATCCTCTTATTTTTGTGTATGTGTGTTTGTGTGAGTGAGTGAACGTGTGCTGGAACCTTAAGGCCAGAAGAGGGCATCAGATGCCTGGGAGCTGGAGTTCCAGGAGGTCATAAGTCGCCCTACATGGATGCTAGAACAACTCAGGTTCTCTAGAAAAGCAGCAGCAGTTCTTACAGCTAAGCCATCTCTCTAGCCCCATGGGAGCACTTCGAACAGTTGCCTACAGCGATCGTTTTTTTAAAAAGATTTGTTTGTTTGTTTATTTATCCAGAGTTGTGTCTGCATGTATGCCTGCAGGCCAGAAGAGGGCACCAGATCTCATCATTGATGGTTGTGAGCTACAATTTTGTTGCTGGGAATTGAACTCAGGACTTCTGGAAGACCAGCCAGTGCTCTTAACTACTAAGCCATCTCTCCAGCACAATCACTTATTTTCTACTCTCTAATTTTATCTCATCCAGGGCAGGAGCTATTTCCTAATGTCTATCCTGACCCTACCAGCACTGTGCATGCAACAAATGCCCAGAATGTTGGGTCTCTAAATAAAGAGTGTTTTATTTACTTATTCCCATCACACATAACAAATTTATGTATTGAGAACAAAAGAGTGATTTTTAAGTTCGCAGAACAAGAGGATCCACTCCATCAAATGTCATAACGACCCGGTGATTTAAGGTCTACTAAACACCGAGCACTGCTGGAGGCATGAGTGCATCCCATGGCAGAGTAAGTAAGTAATAGTCGCTGCGTGAACCTTCTGAGCCTGCGCGCTAGGCTCACAGAGATAACAGATGAAACATCTAGTGTTATTATTCAGTAACACACACACCTCCTGTGTTGTCTCTTTTTAACAAAGGCATTTTCATAGTTCAAAGACAGCAAATTGGAAGGAACTAGGAGGCAAATCAGTCCTCCATTGGTCATTTTATAGAAGAACCGAACAGGGCACAGGCAGGGAAGGGAACCTGCCAGGTCCCATGGGGTACAATTTTAGGCTTCTTGATTTCTCCCAAGTTTTTTAACTTTCTACCATGGCCTCTGACACACCATGACATAGGTCATTTTCTTCCATCAGCACCTTGGATTAACGCCTGACTTCCTGACCTGACCCTGTGAGAAAAGGGAATGCAACAGTAGCCAGGCTGCTATCCAGGTGGTTCAGTCAGGGCTACTGAATAATCAAGACATCTTGGCTAAGCGCACATCAAAACCATTTATCCCCGTTTCTGTCCATTACCTGAGCCGCTAAGTTACCAGAAGAGAAACTCAACCTGCCTTACTGCAAATTCATAGTACACATAGCATCTGATAGAGAGCACGTCACACGTTAAATGAAGTGAGTTTTGTGGGTTTTACTTGTATTAAGGCAAAGTCTCAAATTGCGTAGGCCATCCTCAAACTCACTACATAGCTAAGAAGTCCTGCAACTCCTGATTTTCCAGCATCTACTTCTCAAGGGCGGCACCACCACACCCAGCATGAATGTCCAGCCTAATAGGAGTTCTTTGTTGACAAGGCCATGAGTAGCATTTCTCTGAGAAGGGAGTTCCACAACTCTTTAAACCACATGTTGATAACGTCTGAGTGTGTACACACAGGCACACATCCTGCCCTGCTCTGCTGCCTGTGGGCTATGCTGGCCATCTCTAACAGGTCACACCCTTTCTGTACTTCACATTTGTCCTCTGACACGCACCAGGAAAATAAGGCACTCAACAAGTATGAATTGCTTCTACCTGCACTATAAAAATGCCTCTAACTATAATTTCCTCCGGGAAGGCAAGGGTAGACAGACTGTACGCCCAAAAGTTTCACCAGTTACCATGCAGTTTTCTAGACCTGTCTGCAGGGGACAAGGCCATGGGTGATTCAGTAACTTCTGCTAAAACCTCCCCTTAGCCAGGCATGTACATGCCTTTTAATCCTAGAGCTCAGGAGACAGAAAGGCAGATCTCTGTGAGTTCAAAGCCTACACAGTATCAGGTTAGCCAGGGCTAACTAGTAAGACTCTGTCAAAATAATTTAAAACAAAATAATTTTTTAAAAAATCTCATTCACACAGGTAACCTTTACTAATGCCAATCCCTTTGTCCTTTCCCAGTGCTCAGTAACCATTCCCAGGGAGTTAATGATCTACCAGAATTGCCAGTACTCTAATGGAGGTTTATACAAAGTATGGTGGGGGTTGGAGAGTAGGGCTAGTACAAAGATGGCAGAGGAATGACAAGAAAAGAATTCACTAATAAGCTATCATATCTTGTTATGACATATGACAGCAGGGAGAATTTACCAGAAAGTCAGGAACAGAGGCATTTTCTAGGAAAAACAAAAATGATATGTACCATAGAAGAAAAACTACAAAATGCTTAGAAGGGGTGGGGGTAGATGACGTAAGTAAATAAAGGACACACGTTAACCAGGAGCCATGAAAAAAACGCTGTACTCCAGGGGAAGGAACCAGGACTCTATTGTGACAACCTTACTGGAATATCTGGGTGCACTTGTAATAGTAAGCACCCTGTGGGACAGACCAGCAAGGAGCAGGTTAGGACAGGACACTGCTGCAGAAGTAGAGGCCATGGGAATGAGAGAAGGGGCTGGCAGAGCTCTGACAGTCAGCAAGATGTGCCAATTAACTGAAGGAGGGGGGGCAGGTGCAAGGCAAATCTAGGGGTCTCCTATTATTTACACACCAGGGTAACTAGCGGGGATTACTAAGATGACGCCCTCAGGAGAGAACACGTGCAGGTGAGTTAGGATAATAACAACTGAGTTGTCGCCTGTAGGACATGCATGTTCACATGTGCACATTTAGGCTAACGATGAGAGCTGAAATGCTTACCTACTGGAAATACATAGGGCCAGAGTGGGGCAAGGCACCGACTGGATGCTCTGGGACTCCCAAGAAGGCTCTGAGAAACACAACAGAGGAAAGCCAACCAGGGAAGGACAGAAGGCTGCTCACAGCGGGAGACAGGAAGAGTGTTGCTTCAATTAAGTGAACAGTGCTGTTGAGGAACCCAGGGACTGAAACACAGTGAGGGATTTCAAAATGTCCAAGGGACTTTGTCTTAACAAAGGGTGGGTGTGCGCTCCTGGCAGTTTAGAGGGAAGCAGCTGACAGGTAACCACAGGAAAGAGAATGAAAACCCTGAAAGCTGCCTTTTCAGTAAACTTGATTGCGAGGGAGAGAGAACCCAGGGGCACTAGGGTAAGTGCAGGAACACAGACTGCAGAGGACCAGATGCCATCGGCGAGGGGAACCAGGGCTCGGAGGGCAAGGGGTTGTGATCAGCTAAGGAGCCAACGCCCAAAGAGAAGGAGGTAGCACTAACAACAGAAAAGTGAAAAAATAAAATGAAACGCGGGTGACAGATTTGGCTACTAAAATTTTTTCTGGGGATTCACTGAGATACAGTATTAGCCTGCACAAGGACATAGGCTTGCCCTCATCACGACAAAGAGGTAAGTATCTCTAAAAACAAATAAATGAAGAAGGTAAACACTCTATCACGGAAGGTAGACCTACATTGTAAGGTACAACCAGCACGTAAATGAAGGCTATGTGACTGTACTCTGTTATGGAACACTACTTTAACTATGGAAGATGCATTACATTTGTTTATGTTACATTTGTCTAATTATGTAAAGATGTGTTGCTGTTTTACCTTGTCTGCCAACCCAACTGGTCTAATAAAAAAGTTAAACAGCCAATAGCTAGGCAGAGGATCGGCAGGGGTAGGAAGAGAGAATTAAGTAGGAGAAGAAATCTAGGCTCAAGAGAATGGGAGAGAACAAGGGAGAAAAAGAAGGAGACACCTGGAGCCAGCCAGCTGCCAGACAGACAGACACACACTAAAGAATCAGGAAAAGTAGGACATACAAAATTAAAGGTAAAAAGCCCCAAGGCAAAACATGGATGAAGAGAAACAGGTTAAATTAAGTTATAAGAGTTAGTGGGGCCGGGCGTTGGTGGCGCACGCCTTTAATCCCAGCACTTGGGAGGCAGAGGCAGGTGGATCTCTGTGAGTTCGAGACCAGCCTGGTCTACAAGAGCTAGTTCCAGGACAGCCTCCAAAGCCACAGAGAAACCCTGTCTCGAAAAACCAAAAAAAAAAAAAAAAAAAAAAAGAGTTAGTGGGACAAGCAAAAGATAAGGCTGAGCATTCATAACTATATTAAGTCTCCGTGTCTTTATTTGGGAGCTGGTCGGTGACCCAAAAGAAAGCCTGCTACCGTACTCCACTGGCTTAATGAACACTCAGGAAGCAGCCACTATGCTGAGGCACAGGGATTGCACAAGCAAGGTCCTCATCCAGAAGAGCTTAGGGCCTAGAAGGACACCACAGCTACCCTCCGCCATTGTTATACAAGATCAGGCCACTTCTCAGCTAGGAGTCAGGGCAGCCTAGCTTCCTCCACACTGTCTCATTCTCTCCAATCTCAAGGGCATCTTCTAAACATCATGGAAAAACAGCCTATTCAAGTCTTGGCGGTTCTGAAAAGGAACAGATGGCCCTGTGAGAAGGCTTGACTCTTGCCACGTTGTGACCCCACAGGCCTGTGTTCATCTGGGAATGTACATTCAGGGAAGGTGAACTATGGAACAGAGGTAGCAAGCGACAACAGTTCCAAGTCGGCCTGGTCTACAGAGCAAGTTCCAGGACAGGCTCCAAAGCCACAGAGAAACCCTCTCACGAAGAAAAAAAAACCACCCAGTTAAAGTGCCCTCAAGTCTCAGAGAAGTACCTTCTGACACAGCAAATCATCAAATGGCTGAATCATCTCATTTATCCTGAGGTGGCACACCTATGGCCACTAATGTATTCCTGGAATGGTTGACCGCATCTATGCTCTAAGTGTATAAAGCAAAGTATCCGGTGTTATGGATCGTTTAATACAGAATGGGCTGAGTTTCATCTTGTATATTATTCTTAAAAAGCAATTAAAGTATACTTGCAAAGGCTTTGAATGGGAATGCAGTGGAAGGCCCATCAATATGGCTTAGTCAAGGTTCTCTGAAGTAACTGAGAATTATGTGTTTGAGAAGGACAAAATAGTCATTGGCTAAAAGAATGCTTCTGTTCTGCCAGATATCAACCTAGCATTATTAGCTCATGCAATTCTAATACGTTGGTATGAACAGAGCATTTTCAGGTAAGAAAACCAAGAGAAATAAGTTGCTCAAAGTCACAGAAAGTGGGTAGCAAAGCCAGGCTCTAAACACAGGACCTAGATTCAGAAGTCTACTTGCCCTGCAGCCTGTGGATTCTGACTCTATTACAAACTTTTTTTGGCAATGTATAGGCACGATCCAAGATTCCCCGGATTTTAAAAACTTTTCCTTGTCACAAGGTAAATACAAATTTCAGGCCAGTGTGTTGCCATCAAATACCCACTGGCACAACTAGAACAGAAGGCATTCTAACAAGTGTTGGAAGGCTGGAGAACAACTAGGATTCTAACACTGCTGGGAGAAGAGGCACCAAGTGTGCATCGGTAATAGCAATGTGTACATACATGTGAGAGTATGTACACATATACAAATACACATATTTATTTCCATGGCTTTGTAATTCTGCTTCCAGGTATAATACACTTGCCAAAAGAAATCCACTCACCAAAAGGAAGCACCTAAGAATACTCATGGAAGCACTTTAATAGCCTCAAGCTAGAAACGGTCCAAACGCCCATCAACAGCAAACTAGATAAATCTTATATAAACCTAATGCTGACTGAAAGAAACTGGCACCAATGTATACACAGTAAATGGTTACAATCAAAAGGAGAAAAGCCAGTCCAGTGTGAAAATTAGGATAGTATATCCTGGCATGATGGCATATCCCAAAGTTCCACCTACTTCGGAGATTGAGGCAGTTAAATCACTTGAGCCCATGAATTCAAGGCCAGCACAGACAAAATCAATCAATCAGAACAAAATCAGGTACAGTGGCAGTGGAAGGAGGCACAGGGACTTCTGCTAATCTTGTTTCTAAGTTTCTTATGTGTAGTGTATGTGCTTGCTTGCTTGTCTATAATGTGTACATGAGTGCAATGCCCACAGAGGCCAGAAGAGGGCATCAAATTCCTTCCAACAGGAATTACAGGCAGTTAGACCTGCCACACATAGGTGCTGGGAATGGAACCAATGGAACCTCAGTTTCCCCTAAGAGCAGCAAGAGTTCTTAATCACTGAACCATCTCTCCATCCTCAATGTTCCCTACATGATTCCATAGATATGGTTTGTAAGAATTAATTAAATTACACATATTATTTGTGTATTTCTCTTGTGAATCTTTTCTTTAAGGCAAGGTCACACTGTAGCCCTCCCTGGCTGACCTAGAACTCACTACAAATCAGGCTAGCCTTGATCTTGTAGTAATCGTCCTACCTCTACCCCTCCAGATGCTGGGATTAAAGCCATGTGCCACCATGCACATTCACAGTTTTATTCGGGATTTGTTGTGTTTGGTTTTTTGGTTTTTTTGGTTTTGAGACAGGGTTTCTCTGTATTGTTTTGGATGCTGTCCTGGAACTCACTCTGTAGACCAGGCTGGCCTCAAACTCACAGACTCACAGAGATCTGCCTGCCTCTGCCTCCCAAGTGCTGGAATTAAATGTATGCACCACTACACCCTATGTGGGATTTTTTTAAGCATCTAGTAAAATATATACAATTTGTAATAACAAAATGAAAGCATTTTGGATCCCACCCCTGTAAAGTTCATTTTCTCTACATCAAAATGCCTCTCAATATTTTGTTGCAGTTCCTTAATCTCTCAAGTATTCGGCAAGCTTCTCCAAACTCCTTGACCCGGTGGTTCCACATAATCTCTCCTAAATCACCAAAGCCAATCCCAAGCACCAGATCTTACTGACGCTTCTCTACCTTCGTCTCCTCCATCTCTCAGCATTCCTGCACATGGTGACCCTCCCCACTCCAGAGTTCCACCCCATCGAACCTTCTCTTACCTCCAGAACTCGCTGCTGGTTTTCAGAGGCCAGGCACATTCCAGCACATCTCAGAGGGCTTTCAACAACACTCTCAAACTGAAGATTCCCATCAGCACCTCCTCCATCCCAGCAGCAGTCTGCTGCTTATCCCTTACTTCCCTCTCCCTCCTTAGGTTCTTCAGGTTACCAGCATGGCTTCTGTCTGGACCACTCCCCAGGTCTCAAGTCTGACCCTGTCTCTGGAATCCTCCCCCACTTAAACACACTGCCCAGATGTCCCGTTTTCCTTCATAGGTTTTATAATATGTGACTCTGTAGACGCCCAATTATGGGATGAACAGACTGTGGTCAAACACTGCTCGTATTTTACCAGCATAGTTAATATGGCAAGTTTTCATACCTCCTTGGGACCAAAAAGCTCATTCTCTATTCACAGGGACAACATGACAGAGAAAGAAAAATCCTTCGTGAACGAGTTTTAGCTTGTGCATGTGTTGTCTGTACCTGGTACACAGGTGTGTGCACATCTGTGGGTGGATGCATAGGCACATGGGTACCAATGTGTGTAAAGGCCAGAGGCCAACATCGTATGCCAACCGTGATCACTGTCCACCTTATTTTTTGAGACAAGGTCTCTCACTGAATCCGGAGCTCATCAATCTGACTGACTGACTGACTGGCTGGCGAGTGGGCTCTAGAGCTCTGCCTGCATCTGCCTCTCCAGTGCTGGGATAACAGATGCACACATCTGCACCTGGCGTTTATGTGGATGATGAGGACATGAGCTTTGGTCCTCATGATGTGAAGTAAGCACTTGCCAACAAAGCTGTCTCCAGAAGTACGTAATTGTAGGAATGGAAAGTAACATCCATAAAGCACCTAGTCAATGGTGAAACGTTTGACAGACAGTACATTAGAAACATGATTCAGCACCGGGCATTGGTGGCGCACGCCTTTAATCCCAGCACTCGGGAGGCAGAGGCAGGCGGATCTCTGTGAGTTCGAGGCTGGGCTGGACTACCAAGGGAGTTCCAGGACAGCCTCCAAAGCCACAGAGAAACCCTGTCTTGAAAAAACAAAAAAAAACAAAACAAAAACAAACAAAAAAAAGAAACATGATTCAACTGTGTCACAATTCTAAAATGGCAATGACCTGTGTATTTCGGTGACTCCTTTTTTCTCTCTGGTCACCAAGGCACTGTATGGGGCAAACAGCTGGCTAGTTACCCTGCCCACATAATAAAGAATCCCTGCTTCTTTTTTTTTTTTAACCCCAGTTTCTTAAAAACTCACCCGAAATGTAAAATCATCTCTCAACTTGGAAAACGGATTGCTCTTAAAAAGAAGTTGATTAGGCAAGAACCCTGAGCTCCCTGAAGCTGTTAGAATCTCAAGGCTGCAAGTGGAACTCTCCAGCACACCTGCCTGGGGCATCTAACCCAGATGTGGGAAGATGCCGGTGACACAAAGAAGTGACTGCTGCAGTCTTAAGCAAGCAACCTGCTTCGTGAACCATATTACCAACTGGCCTCATGTGCGGGGTGTGCAGCAATGGAGCATGTTCTCTCTGATTCAGGGATTATTTCTCAGACATTTATTTCAGAATAAAGAACTCAGAACCCTAAGTCACAGAGGAAACAAGAATACGGTGAGAACTTAGAACCCACAGCTGAGTAAAAACCCCCACTGAAGTGGTGCATGGACCAGACATAAACAAAGACTTTACAAGGTGGGGACTCATTTCTAATTCCTTTAAATCCAAAGAGATATATCCCACCTTCCAAGGCAGTCCTTTCGGTGTGGGTAATGGCTAACACAGATTTCCTAGATGAGAATTTTACCTGAGGGGTAAAATTAGAGAAGACAAAACAGTTTTGGTGGGGAAGGGAGTTGTTCCCAAATATAATGTTTTAATTTGGTTTTAGCATCAGTCAGGCCATTCCTTAAATTCTGGCTATTATAGTGAGCAAGTATGACTGAATGTGGTCTCTGGGCTTCAGACTAACAGGAATAAACATCTGTATACTCACAGGACGGCCACACAGGTGGTGCTCTCCATGGAGAAAGTTTACTTGTGCTGAGTTTCCAACTTTCCATAAAGAGAAGAGGGCAATCAGGTGTGGCAGCCCAAGTCTATAATCCCAGCACTTGCAGGATAGGAGGTAGGCAGGGGATTAAAAGGAGTACAAGGACTGAATTACATGAGGACCCCCCCTTTCTCTCTCTTACACACAGACACACAGACACACAGACAGACACACCTTTCCACACGAACATACAAAAACTGCACCCTGCCCCATTCCACATGCACACACACCACAGCAGAGAGCAGTGCTAGGCATAAACATTACTGGGTAAGGGGTTAGTAAGGATTAAATGTCTGCCTCTCTCCACACTTCCAGAGCCTCCATGTATGCACACGCAGTGTCTTTAGGACAGTTAAGCTTGGCGGTTCCTTTCTACTACCAAGCTAGATACTTCATTATAAAGGATCAGAGCCAGGTGGTGATGGCAAACACCTTTAATCCCAACACTCAGGAAGCAGAGGCAGGAGGATCTCTGAGTTCAAGACCAGCCTGGTCTACAGAGCAAGTTCTAGGACAGGCTCCAAAGTTACAGAAAAACCCTTTCTCAAAAAACAAACCAAAAGCGGGGCGGTGGTGGTGCATGCCTTTAATCCCAGCACTCGGGAGGCAGAGGCAGGCGGATCTCTGTGCGTTCGAGGCCAGGCTGGACCGATAGCCTACGAAACAATACAGAGAAACCCTGTCTCGTAAAAACCAAAAAAAAAAAAAAAAAAAAAAAAAAAAACAACTTTGACAAAGGATCAAATCCTTTGGCAATGAGATATCTCCTGTGATGCTGTTTTGAGAGGCAAAAGGAAAACTGGAAGAATTATTCAGACTCAAGGTTCCTCAGTGATCCTGGAAAAATATCTTATTTTTTTAAGAACAAAGAAAGGCTAGGTGGTGGTAGCACAAGTCAGGGCTTCACAGAGAAACCCTGACTCAAAAACACACAAAAGAACAAAGTAAGAACATCCCAAAACACCTAATGTGTGCTGCTATGCCTGCTTCTAATGTTTCATTGAGAAATCAATCTTACATAAATCCAAGTTAAGATGAATGAAGAGAGTAGTTCACATAGCCACTGGGTGAGAGATGTGAGACCAAGTCATTTGACTAATTTAGCATCCTACAGAAAGAGATGCTGCCTCTACTGTCCATTTGCCTACAGTCACCTTTAGTGGTAACCCTTGAGTTACTCAAGGGTTTCACTTCGAGACAAGACAGTGGGAAGTACCTGAAGTGGCTTGCAGGAAAGAAGTATATCATTATAACTTCTCACTCCTCTAAGACACCAAGAAAGGAAGGGGGAGAGGGAGGGAAGGGGTGGAAGGGGGAGAGGGAGGGAAGGGGTGGAAGGGGGAGAGGGAGGGAGGGGTGGAAGGGAGAAAGGGAGGGAGGGAAAAAGAAAGGAATTGGAAGGAAGGAAGCAAGCGAGTGAGCAGCCCACCCAAAAAGTCGACCTTTCAACACTGGAGCACTTTTTGTCAGAATAGAAAACCACTCCTGAGGATGCAGACTTTTAGCTTAGACATCTAGGAAATCATTTGCTTTCTTTTCCTATTCTTTATAGTTTGGCATACTTTTAAAGATAAGCCTTTAATACCCAAGATGCCTCTCAGTTTCTCTTCCCACACACCTTTGTCCGAGCTGATAAGGCAGGCTAGCTGCTTGTTCTGCAGTGCCAGGGTTAGAACAGTCTAGGCAAATGCTCTACTTCTGAGCTACACTCCCATCTCAAGAAGTTTCTGATTTGCCTCAAAACTGCAATTAATGCTCTACTACCTACCTATTAATGAGGGCTTTCATCAGATCTACTGAGGAACACTAGAAATAACCCCTAGCACGCAGGGCCTCACTGTCCTGTTCCTAGCTTGAACTGCCCTATTTCTCTTTGCCAAATTTATTTTGGTATTAAGCATCATCCTCCAAGTGTCCTCAGCCTGGACCACTGTCCCTCCCTCCCACATCACTTCCCTCACAGAGACCCTGTCTGTGTTCTCTCAACATCTTAAGCAGCTCCCTGTAGCTCTAACTCACTCATCAGAGAATCTGTCAGCACCACTCTCTGCCAACATCACTGGAGATCCAAGAGGGACAGAGGAAGGGCAGCATCTTGAGATGATTACATCCCAGAGGATGACTGGTCCAGCAGCACGGTGTTAAACAGGAAGTCACAATGGGTCTTCTCACAGCTTTATTCTCAGTCTTGCTGCTGTATGGCACATATATCATCAAATCATTCCCTCTCACCAATAATAGAACCTTTATTAAAAAAGAAAAAGTAGTCAGAATTTTATGTTCCATAATCATGATTCTAAAATGACCAGCAAACTGAGGGGCCTATGCCCAGGTGGCAGCAGCAGTGCCTCTGGGGAAGACCGGAGCCACTAAAACTCTTCCAAGTTGAATGTCCACTAAGCTCACATGGCTGAGAACAGAAAAGCAGTAGCGGAGTGCCCTGAAAGTAACGGAACAATGTTAGTGCTGGAGGATGTCCAGAAACAGGAAACCAGAAAGGGGAGCTGGAGGAAAGCAGGGCCATCACTCCCATTCCTTCCCTGCACAAAAAGGCTCAAAGGTCTCTAAACTCTTTGCAATAGAGCTATGATGGGAATGATAAAGGATGCAAAGAAACACAAAAACAAAATACACTTAAGTTGAATAACAACAAAGACACCCTAGAAATCAGAGCACACCTCTAGTCAGCAGACCCAGGTCTGGGTGGAGCTTCACCTGCTCCACCCCACACAAGCTGGAAGAAGCAACAGTAAAGACATAGCAATAGGACACCAGAGGGCCCCGGAACATAAAGGGTTAAAAGGACACACAACTCTTGAGGACAGCAGGGAGACCATCCTTCCCACCAGCAGCAAAGAGCTCTCTTCCTGAAGTGGGAACCACTGTAAACAACTGAAAAACATACATAATAATCACAAGTTATAAATGTTCTTGGGAACTCCCTGGTTTCAACTAGTCTATGACAAATATCTGCAGAGGGATCTCAGCATCTGCTCCGAAGTTCAAGGAAAAGTAATTCCTACCGATGGAGCAGTGCCAAAATATCACCCCCGGGGTCGGACCAATTAAATGGCTGCTTCTTAGTGTGGCGTTTAGGAGAGATGGCAGATTGAACACTGCGGAGTAAACCCGCAGATTCATTTCAGCCCAAGCACACTGCCCCAAAGGGGGAGTCAATCAGAAAAGAAGCAGTTTGGAGTGGAGTCTTCTAACGAGGCTGAACACAGAATAAACGGACCCACAGTTTAATTACTGCAGGATCCATCTTCCATCAAAACTGATGACACAGCTTATGAGGCCTGGAGAGACTCCGCTCCCTCTAATCCTCCTGTGCAGGAAACAGGACTCATCAGATAACCTTTCTGCCTCAAGAAGCTGCTTTCACAAAACACTATCTACTAATCTAGATCGAAGACCACAGGTGAGCCAGGGTTAAAATAAAGAAGCCAGGGGTCAGTAGAGAGAGCTCCTGGTGCAAGGGGGGTGGGAGAGTGGGAGCAATGTACTAATTCTGATTAGGATCAAACGATGCGATTTGCTTTTCTTCCAAAGTGCCCTGCACAAAATGTGGTCAAATGTAATAAATTTCCTCCAAACAATAGAATCAGTGAAAGGGTTAAAATATGCGTGTTTTAAGGATTTATCTGTGCACTCAGGGGAAGGTGGCTATAAAGATGGGTTTTTTTAAAACTTTGATTACATTAAAATATAATTATTACCTCATTTGGGGTTGGCATGCACCACAGCACATGTCCAACCAGAAGTTAACTTCAGGTATCAGTTGTCTCCTACCACATGGATCCTGGGGACCAAATTCAAGTCACCAGGCTTGGCAGCAAGCACCTCTACCCACTAAGGCTGCTAGCTGGCCCTCCACTTTGTTTTGAAGGCAGCCTCTCTTGTTATTTCTACAGTTCTGCTGCACTGGTGCTGCATAAGCCAGATGACCCTCCTGTCACCTCTCATCACACTGGAGGAATGCTGGGGCTGGGGTGACAGGCTTTTAAATGTAGGTTTCAGGGACCTGAGCCAGCTCGCTGGTCTAAACTAACTGCTCTCAAGGTTTTCTACTTTTGTTTCCCAGCTGGAATCTATACTGCCCAGGCTTGACTCAAACATCATGGACTCAAGCCACCCTGCCAGCTCAAAAGGTACATGCCAGTATACCCGACTTCTCAAGGTTTTTAGAAGACAAAGACCCCTTTCCTCTGCTTTTCTACCTCATTTAGACATGCCGAAACCTTTACTCCACTTCAGTCTAGTTCTCGGCAAGAGGCCCAATGATCTGCAGCCTTTCCCATTGGCTCTAAATGAGTGTGGAACCCCTTGGAGAATTTTCTGGAGCCACTTACAAGTGGCCTGTCCTTCCTTGCAGGCCAGACTGAGACATTCCTTTCCTTTTCTACCCCTCTGCAGTAAGTGTTCATTTGTCTTCCTCTCTTGCAGTCCAGCCAACCCACAATCCTGCCAGATTAGAACAACCATCCTCAGCTCCACTCCAACCTAGAGCTGCAGTGGCACCATACTGTTCCTGGACACAGGTCAGTGACAAGGGGGAAGCCAGACCAAGCACCTTCTTCCTTAGGGTTAGGGTTAGGGTTAGCTCGCTCTAATGTTTGGTTCTCGGTCTGAAAATTATGCTGATTTTCTGCAGCATTTTCTGCTCCTACTGGATGTGACATGCCCAGCATCCATCTCAAGAAGCAGAAGAAAATGGAGAGGTCTGGTTGTAGCCTGCCAGCACCACAAAAAAAAAAAAACAAACAAACAATAGAAACTACCTTTGTAAAGTGGGCGTTGGTGGTGCACGCCTTTAATCCCAGCACTTGGGAGGCAGAGGCAGGCGGATCTCTGTGAGTTCGAAGCCAGCCTGGTCTATAAAGCGAGTTTCAGGACAGCTTCCAAAACAATACAGAGAAACCCTGTCTTGAAAAACCAAAAAAAAAAAAAAAAAAAACAAAATTTCAACACCTGTGCTTAATCTGGCCCTCAGACATTACTTTGCTTCTACCCCCAACAAATATCAAAATGGCTCCTATTCAACATTCCCAATATCAAGACCCCAGTGCTGATTTTAGCCAAGTGAAGTACTCACTACCTTAACTTCAAGGCCACCAATCCAGCCTCAAGGCCACCAATCCAGCCTCACTCCCATCCCCCCAGCCCCTCACCCCCCCCATTTTTCTTCTTACCCATTTGCTTCTTGAGTTACAAAGCAGGAGGACACAGACTCCCTTGCAATGTGGCTGGATAAGGGATACAGGAAAAAACTGTAATTAATTAAGGCCTTTCCCTTGTGAGCATGCTCAGTTCAATGTAATGAACCAAGTTGACTCTCAGCACCTGAAAGAATGACCCACAAAGGCTCAGTGACCTTGGCTGGTTCTTAAGCATCCTCAAACAATCCTCTGTGAAACAAAAAGAAATGTAGGTTTCAGAGTGTGTTAAAGGAACCTGATCCAAGAGGTGCCTGCCTTAGTAGCCAACAATCCCAGTGACTTAGGACAGTAAAAATGTATTACTTAGTCAAATGATAATTTTAAAAAAAGACCTTTACCTGCTCCTAATTATATCCTGAGATGCAGAATGGACCAGATTTGAAATAACTCAAGCAGTTTTAATAATCCACAAAGATTCCAAGGTGACTCCCCGCAGGTGGCTATCCCATAGCCAATCTGTACCTTAATCAAGGCAATAAAGCAGATTTCACAGTAGGAAGCAATGAAAAAAGGGGGTAGAGTTTAGAAAATAGGGGCAGTTGAAACTATTTACCAGCTGAGTGACCCCAAGGCAAATTACTTTTTTAATGACTTCTCCAGAGACTTGCCAAAGGGGGAAACAATTGAGCAGCTACTATTAGATCCTGCCTCCAGTATGCAAGGAAACTTACAATTCAAAGAAACAAAAAACTTTCACAAAGCTACCTTTGTCAGAACACACTTGAGAAAGAAAGTGCTAGGGATCCTAGAGTCCACAAAATGAACCCGTTACTCAAAAGTCTGGTGGATTATGTCCTAAATTTTCCTATTGTTATTTAAAAAAGAAAAAAGAGCTAGCACAGACTGAATCCCACACCTACCAAAAGTAGCAGATGAGCAGCTGTCAATCCAGTGCTATTTCATCTTATGAACCATATGAATGCAATATGGTGTAAACCAGGGAAAACACCATGCCTGAGACTCCAAAGACAGACAAACCTGGGCCCCAGAAGAAATACTGCTATGCTGAGAGGCCAGAGCTGTGTTGTGGTTGAATATGAGATGTCCCTATAGGCTCCTGTATTTGAACACTTGGTCCCCAGGTGATGCTCTGTTTTGGAAGGCTGTGAAACTTGAAGGAGATGGAGCCTCACAAGGAGAGGTCAGCACTATGCATATGCCTTGAACTTTTATAACCCACTGTCTACTCTTTGCTTTCCTATTACTGCAGATGCAATGTGACCAGGCACGTTCCTGGTACCATACATTTCCTGCCAAGGCAGACTGTATCTCCACAAACTATAAGCCAGAAAATAAGCAAACAAACAACAAACAAAAAACCAACCACCCTTTCCGCCCCTAAGCTCCTGCTAGTCAGGTTGGGGTCACACTTTGAGAGAAGTAACACATGTGTGCAGTAAATGGCTATTAGCTCCTTTTCACACAAGAAGCAGACTTCTTCAGGCAGGCCTCAATCAAGTCTAGGCCTCCAAGATACTCCTCCCTCAGCCTCCAGGATGCTGGAGTAATTACAGGTGCGCCACGCCTGGTTAAAGTTTTGACGTTTTACCCACAGCCAGTTCCTAGCTGCACTCAAGCTGCAGTGGTGACAAGCACGCTCTGCTCGAACCGGACTTCCTGTTTGGGGTTGTCTGATTGCTTTGCATCTCGCAGCTCTGCAGCTCTACGTCAGACTTTTGACAAACAGGTTAACCTTTCGTGGCTTCTGACAGCTGGCTCACTGGACAGTAAAATCCATTACGATTTAAAGTCAAAGATTTGCCTAGCAAGCACTCCTAAGTCACAAACCTCTAAGACATTTTCTGGATTTCCCATGCTTCATACTGACGTCTGGCCTGCCACAAGCAATAAAAATACCACAAATGGTGCTGAGATAAAGAAATGAAATCGAAAACAAAACTTGGAATATGAAGGCTGAAAAAGGGGTCAAAGACGTTGGAAACGTTCTCATAATTAAACCTTTGGTCCCCTTTTAAATGCAGAAGAAACGGATTTCTGTCAGCTGGTCCCCACAGAGCAGACCCTCCACCCCCGAACTGAGTGTCTGAGACAGTTCAAAGGGTCCTGTGGTACACACTGCCCTGAACCCAGCCTGCCAAGCCCTTTGCAGCTACTGCTGAGCCTCAGCCATCAGAGAGGCCTGGACCTCTCACAGCAGGGCAGGTCTATGACCTAACTCCATTGCCTTCCAAGAGCTGGAGGTTCCCCACCACACTCAGGGTTAGGAATAAACACTGGGCACAACAGCCCGGCTTTTATGGGCAAGTCATTTAGTCTCTGCCTGTCTCCTCATCTGGAAAATAGGAGGGTGGGACTCCACTAATTTCTAATGCTTCTTCCAGCTGTTGAAAAAAACTCAGAGATTTAAAATTAGCAGTTGGTGGAAGTGCCTGTGGCTTCCTGGATGGTTTCTTTGGTTTCAAAAAGATGTCTCTAACATACCACATCCCATAGTGGGAATATCATATGCCTCAATCTAGCATCCAAAGAATTCCCCCTCTCTTCCCTTTCAAATGTGGGATAGAAAATTTCCCACTTGAAAGCAAGCTACTGATAAACCTTAAGTTCTTCATATATGGTCTTTTTATTATGAGTTTAATGTAATCGCACTTTGTTTCCACACTAGTCACAGGACTTGTGGAGGAAGAGAAGCACAAGAGGGTGGGGGAGATGGGACCAGCAGCGGGAGGCACACCCACACAGTGACTGTTAATGGGGGAAAAATCAAACAAAATCTGGGTGAGAAGAGGGAGTGGTGAAGGTAAGTGTGTGAGTCAGTGCACAAGCAGATCACAACAAGCTTCTCCGAAAGACAGGAAAGGGGACAAACGTCGGTCAGAAGCTCGGCTTGTTCACGTGACAGACAGTCAGACTAGACTGCCTACTGTGTGCAAGAACAGAACTGGACACCAGGGGAAATGCAAAAGTCAGCACACAGATCCACTCACAGCACACAGTGAGATAAAAACAGCAGGAAATGTACTATGACATAAAGGTGACACCAAAGAGACTCTTTTGTTAGAAGACTCAGGGGAAGATGTGAAACTCCCAGTGACACATCAGACAAAAGAAGCTTCATAGAAAGGATGACACTCTGAAGTCATAAGCAGGGCAGAAACAAAGGCGCCTGAGAAAGAAATCAAGGATGCATAAGTACAAGTACCTGGATTTGATCTGAGACACAGGCAGGCAGGAAGACAAGGCAGTCTTAATAATAATCCTAGCAATCCTAGAGCCATGACTAAATTGGACAGCTGGACAGGGCCAGAGTGAGGCTTCAGAGATCAGCCTTAGAATCTGAATTTAAATGTCATGGAAGAGGATGCTGACAAGCTAGGGGCCTGAAGAAACTCAAAACTCTGGCCCATAACATCTGCGTGCATAGTATATAAAATGTCTCAGATGGTGATATGGTATTAACATGTTAAACAAGGAATGTGCTGCTCTTGGGCCAATCAGCTCAAAGCAGTAAGCAGCAGAACCATGGCTAAGATCAAGGAAGCAAGGAGGAGGAGCTGCTAAGACAGCTGGACTATCTGAAGGTGGAACTGTCCCAGCTTCCTGCTAAGGTGACAGGCAGTGCTGCCTAAGCTCTCCAAGATACAAGTCAGCCCTAAAATCCATCATGAGTGTCCTGGCTGTCATCATTAACCAGATTCAAAAGGAAAACTTCAGGAAATTCTACAAGGGTGAGGTACAAGCCTTTGGGCCTGGTATCCAAGGAGGCTAGCGCCATGTGCCACCAGCTCACCAAGTACCAGAGGAAGGAAAGGCCGTACCTGCTGTACAAGTGTGAGGTCAAGACCTGAGGTGGTCACAGCAATAAGGCACAAAACTGTCTGGAAAAACAAATGAACAGGGTTGGAGAGATGGCTCAGCAGTTAAAACCACTGACTGCTCTTCCAGAGGACCAGGGTTCAGTTCCCAGCACCCACTGTAACTCCAAGATTCGACATGCATGCAGGTAAAACGCCAATGCATATAAAATAAAAATAAGTTACAAAACAAAGGATGTGACTACATCAAATATTGGTCAAGAGGGAAACTTGGAAAGATCTAAGAAAAATGTTCTCAGTGTGTACACTTTATACCTCCTGTTCCCAAGATGGAGAGCAAACACTTCTTTGCTAATCCCTTACTTCTGTGCCACTGTGACAGTCTGGATTTGGAATCACTTGGGGACCACAGCTCTGTGTGTATCTTCCAAAGTATTTTAGAGGGCAGCACAACCTCATGATCTGGGGTCTAGATAAAGAGGGGGCAGGCAAGGAGAATGTCAAAATCCCCTGCTGGCTGCTCCCTGGTCTTCACAGACATTTTAG